GCAGGAATGTGAAGAATACCTCCCATGGTTTCTATTTAATCTCCTCTTTGCCTTTGTTTAAAACGTATGAACTGTTTAACCTTGCTCTCTGCTGCTGTGGCTGCTGCTGCACCAAAAAGTAGCGCAACTTGACAATGGCGTCACACGATTCGGCCAGAGTATCTGTTTGCTCCTTCTTTGTCCTCAGGCCCTTCAGATTCTTTCATTTATCTTTTCCTTCCTCTGCCCCCCCCCACCACCTCCCTCACCCCGTCCGCTCTCCTTCAGCCAGCGGATGCAACATTATACTAAAACAAATTGATTTGTCTTGCTTTTGCCCACTGCCCTCCAGTATGATCGGACCAATTTGCTGACAGAGTTGAAGCATTGTTCCGCAGGTCAGTCTTATATTCATATATAAAAAAAAAGTATATCACTCCGATTCATTCAGCAGAGCGGCTCTAACTCTAGGTCGGAGTTGTGTTGCTGTGGACGAGTTTAAGAAAATGTCAACTTCTTGAGGCAAACACACTGCTTTAATCACGTGGTGGCAAACGTCACCAAGACGACAGAGCTCGCTGTTTGTCTGAACGGACTGGGGACAGAGTGAACTGAGGCTCTGCCCTCTGCTGCCATAATCTCACTCCTTCATGTTCGACTCGAACAACCCCGGCCTCGGTAAACAACACATGCGGCTTTAATTGGAATCACTTGGTCACCCCGCAGCAGGATGAACAGGGCTTTGTTGCCGACATGGCAGCTCCCACAACAACCTGACATGGATACCCCCGAGGAGGTGGCCGCACCTCGGGGGCCGCAGGAAAACTCTCACGCTTTCGACAACTTTAAGGCTGATGTGGTAAATGGGATGAGAAACTTTAGAGTTTGTGGATTTTTGAAGGTTGAGTTAGCAGGAACACTGCGTTACTGTTGGTAAACATGACGTGATTCAAGCGAAAAGCTGGAATTCATCGAGGAAATTGGTCCAACGCGGACAGTGTTACATTCAACTATCAATGAGCTTTACACAGTTAGTTATGCATTGTTATGCTATTAAATTCAAATTAAAACACAAAAACACTGAAGTCAGTGTAATAAAAGAGGCAAACATGCAGTAATTATTGTAAAAATATTACATTTGGAGGTAATATGATAACAATAAAAACGTAATACTTTGTCTTTAAAATGTGTCCACAGGTTACTGAGAGGACGTAGCGGTTTGCTAATTCAAATAATTACCAAGTAATTAGCTTTTCCACTCCTGGATTTAGGTGTGTTTAGAAACAGGAGAATCCTCATCAGCTGCTCCGTATGTTCATTTAATACTGGAGAATGTATCAACAAAATTCAATTATAAAGCAAATAAAAAACTGTTTTTACAATTTAAAAATTTCTAATGTTCAAACATATATATTTGTATATTTGTATTATATATATATATAGCTATAGCTTCCAAAAGTAAAACTGAAATAATTCATTTTAACTGACTTCCATTTACCAGAACAATCCTTACTCTTTTTAGTGCAATAATAAAGCTCTTTGTGGTCATATCTTAAATAGTCCCCATTCAGTCCTTCCTCGTCCTTAAGTGAATAAATGACCATCTGAAGAGAAGGTCATCTGCGTCTGAGCAAGTGTCTCCTTAAATTAAATGAACAACATGACTCTGATTAAATCCCTGTTTTTTTCCTCTCCTTCTGGCTGCTTCCAGAACATTCCAGGACATTAGACCAGTGACTGGCTACTCTGTTTTCTCTCACTGTTTTTCTCATGCTGACCTTTGCTGAAGAAAGGGTCAGTGATATTTTGTTTTTTTGTACTGGCCATCAGCGTTGTGTGTCAGAATCAACAGCAGATTTGTTGTTTACCTCAGGTTTGTTGTTGTCTTCATGTAGAGAAATAGCATTTACGTTGGACAAAGTTTATAATGTTTTTTTAAATTAATTAATTATGCATTGATTATTCAGACAAAATAATACATAGCCCTACAGAATCCATATAAAAGGTTTCTTCAATTTTGTAGTCTTAATAAATAGAAATTATTACATTGTATAATCAAAGTACAGTTAAGAAGTAAATACAATGTATTATTATTGTTATCATTATTATTATTTTGAATAATAATGATCTATCTTTTAATGTAATCATTCAGATTCTTCTTATAATTTCTATTTAACTTTCGCATTTACAACAGAGGTAATATCAGAGGCAGATAAAATGTAACGAGATAAAAAACAATAATGTATGAACTGCATCTGTGTTCAGAGAAATACATATTATTTTGTCATTTTTATTTTTAATATATTTTTACATTTGAAAAACACTTTTAAAATATATAAATATTTTTTAAAGTAACAATTCGATTTTTCAATAATTTTTTTTAAAGTAACAATTCGATTTTTCACAATAATCCTGTAATGTAAATCTAAGTAAAATTAAATGCGTCTTTGTTTTAGTTTGATCAGTGATTTGTGGAGTTATGGCCTTAGATTTTACCCTGAAAAAGTAGTTCTAGTTCTAGTTTATTTTCTTCTAAGGCTCCTGGACTAAGAAGCTGCAGGAGGCAATTGTCGCTGTATGAAAATAGGAGACTCCCCGACTGTGACAGAGTTTCTCCATATTTATCAGAAACCAGAGCTGTGGGGGGGAGTCAACACGTCTTCAACCACAACTGTGAAACCACAGCGGACTGAAGCCTTAGAGACGGGGACAGACATCAAATGCTGAATTATCATTGCAGCCGATTCAAATTAAGGCCATTTAACACATCATATTATAGCATTCAGAGGTAGCTCAGGAGAATCTTCAACAACACACTGATCGACTGTTCTATGATGTCATCCAAACAGCTGACCTAAGAAAAAGGCAGGATAGATCCTGGACAGTGCACAAGTCAAACTGCGAGCCGCGTGTTAAGACAACCCTCTGCACTTACATTCACACCTGTGGACACATACTTATAATAAGGGAGAACCAACAGAAAACCCCTACAAAAAACTCCATACACAGAAGCTGTCTGCCCAAGCTAGGACCCCACACTGTGGTTGTAAAAACGATCCGCCTGTAGGAAAATGTTTATATACATTATAAATATTTCAAAAATATTTAAAATACATTAGAAGAGAGCAAAACCCAACGTGAGAAAATATTTTTGTCCTCAAAAATAATTTTCTGTACTTTTGTCAATCATCAACCTCTAAACGTCAGCCTCCAACTGCCTGGATCCACAGAAGTAGAACTGAAGCTCTGCCTTGACATCTGTGCACACGTTCAGCAGCAGTCTTGCCCTTTGACCCCGTCCCACATGCTGCTGCAGCTTCGCTCTCTAAAGTCTGACAATGTCCGGTGGCCCGAGTTCGTAGGTCGCGGTGATGACAGCGGGCACCTTGCTGCGAGACGACGACCTGCCCACCAAAATAAACACGGGGAGGGTCTACCCCGGCCCGCCCACAGCACCCCCCCCCCCATGACCAGTGTTGGCTGAGTCTTTGAGATTAAACACTATAGATGTGCAGGATCTTCTTTCCTCTAATGAAAATATTGTCGGGGTCAGAGGTGAAGCAGAGAGATCACAGCGTTAAAACACACCTCTGCTCCAGTGGAGGGAGAGAGTGTGCTGCTGCTGTCTGCTGGACTTCTGTTTGAGGAGGTTTTTACCACCACATGTTGTATGTCTGTGTTGGCCTACACTTCAACCAGGTCGTATAATAAAATGAACAATTTATTAGAAAAAAAAAATGTAACAGTAGAGCAAAAGAGAGATTTACAAATGTTACCATTTATTATCAAGTAAATTATTTGAAGCCAGTGAACAATAAATCTTAAAGCAGAACAGAATGATATAGTACTGTGTAGTAATGTTGCATGCATTTTGTATGTTTACTGTAGCTTGATTGTTGATTGACTGACTCAAGTCGCCTTGGTTAAAGCGTCTGCTAAATGTATTGTAATGTAATGTCATGTATAGGAAGAGATTTTAAAATAAAGTAATATATTATTACATGAATGTTGAAGTAAGACGTGGCTGGAGTTTTGATGACTCTGTTATACATCTACACTGAAGCCTGGGGGGAATGTTGGGGTGAAGGAGTGAGGATGTAGAGCTCAGGTTCTGTGACCTGTGCTGTTTAATACAATCCTGTAAAAATCAAAACAAGCTGCTATTAAAGGAGAGCATCAGGAGCGGGTTACAGTTTGAACCAAACCTCCAAGTCTCAGATCCATTTTTGCACAATGTATTTGTTTAAAATAACTGAGTTATTCAAAGATAAGGATAAGAAAACTTAGTTAGAAAAGTAGTGGGAACAACCAAATAAGAAATACCTTTTCTATATATAAAATATTACAGTACTTACTCTCACTATCAAAGGTACTATTTGGTCACTCTTTAACTTCACCCAGTCTGTTATACAAATACACACCTGTGATCAAGCAAACATCTACAGTGGGTTCTCGGTTTACGACATCTTCGACCTATAGCGTTTAGCCGTTCGGTCGCTACACCTCCTACGTACATATCTATTAAAACAGTCTTGTTCCTTGTTGTTTCATTATTGCTCACAAGCATGGTTTTGTCAGACCAAACTGACAATCTCTGTGACTAACTCCATGTAAAAGCAATAGTTTTCTGGTGAACAGGTTCAGTTTTCCTAAATATTTTGCGATGTGTAAACGTAACTGCATGTAAGGTCCGACTTAGGACAAATATTCAAGTTACGTCACCTCTACAAACTGAACCCCGACGTGAGTCAAGGACCCTCCTGTATAAGGAGGTTTCTACTGGGACCGCTGCAGTTACAGGGAGCTGCTCAGTAATGAGGAATAACTGGAGACAACTGACAAAGGACAACTGACGACTAACAACTGGAGGTAAATTCATAGTAAGGAGTGACACAGTGACAGCAACATGTCAGCCTTCTGCTGTTGTTCCAGGAACAAAATGATGCTCACCTTGGACTAAAGAGCGGGCCACAAGCTGAAAATGGTCACATCGAGGGCAACTGGACGAAGTAGTTTTTTTTTTTTTTTTGAAGACGTTTCACCTCTCATCCAAGAGGCTTCTTCAGTTCTGCCACAAGACTTTCCTGGAATGGCCTTATCCAGACATCAAAACCATCGGACTGAAGCAGCGAAGCCTGTTCACAGCACGGAATATAACAGAGTTAAAAAAAGTCACTGCTCTCATTAGTTCTAGTTCATGTTATATAGCACTTACAACAATATATCCCTGTAGATATTACATTTAAAAACACCATGAACACATGATGTACCTTAAACTAAATTCCCTGACTGACTCACTATCCAAAAATGACGGCTACATTTTTTTTCTGAATCTATAAAAACTAGCAGCTTTTGAACATCTGAGTCCTTCTTTGCAGATGGGAGGTGGTGGTTAGACTTTTTTTTTTCTTTTTTTTTGCACCGTTTAACCTTAAAAGAACATGACAACAGCGAAGGAGGTGGTGGGCAGTGAAAGATGCCATATGCACAATCTCACAGTGGGCTCCCTCTGACTGCTGATTGAAACTACATCAGTTTGATCGCTAATATCTTCCAGAGGTTATTTGATTGCAAAAATGTGTAGCCTGCTAGCGCTCAATTTGACCTTTCTACGCACACACACATACACACACGGACCTCCCTGTGCTGCTCTCTGTGTATGTGTGTGTCAGCAGGGTGTGCTCTGAATTTGATGAAGTAGGATCATTCTCTCAACTGATCATATCAGTAAAGGAAGAATCCCAAGATCAACACCAGATTCTGGACTCACATATGGGACACATTTTTCCAGATCCTAATAAACTTTCATCTGTGAATTTTGTGTACGTTGAGGGTCTGGACGAGCCGGGCACCGTCCCCAGACTCAGGCCAGAAAATCAAGGAAAAGAAGAAAAGAAGAAGAGGGAAGACAGACGGAAAACAACAACCCTGAGGTGAAGCAGAGCTCCTCTGCACTGAGCTGGAGATGACAGTGGCTCAGGAAGCAGAGCAGGCTGGTCTCTCACGAAGGCAGTGTGGAGGTGACCTGGTCACACAGAAGATGTGTCATGTGTTTCTGTGCCTGTTGATGTGTAATGTCACTTGTATGTTGACGTACAGTGAGTATCGTTAACTACAGTAATGTACATGTGTGTTATCAATTACAGAAATCAGGTGTGCAACATCCAGTTTTGACGTGCACAATTCCCTACTGATTTCTCACTCACCTTGGCTGAATTCCAACCCTACTTTCTCACTCACCTTGGCTGAATTCCAACCTGTTGCAGACGTGCCGCCTCAGCAAAACTGCTCGACCTTAAATCATCCTTCTTCCAGTGCAAGAAAATGATGCTGCAAGTACAAATAGCACGGCCTAAAACATCTGATCGTCTCAATGTACATAAAAAAACTGGATAGAGATTAATTTATATTAAAAAAAATACATTGTATATTTCAACAAATACATTTAGCACAGCCATATTTTTATGTCATTTTATCTAAAAAACACACTGTCGATGTTGTGCACCAACCAACCCACCCATACGAAAGCAATTTCAGCTACAATTAAAAAGGACTCCAAACCTGCAGAGACTCCACTCACCTTCATCTCTGACGACCTCTCAGCTGTGTGAAGTCACAGGTGTGTCACCGACACTGATTTCATCACAGCCAGGCCTGACATTCTAACATCAGTGAAGCACAGCAGGTCTTGGCAGGACAAAAGGCGTGGCTAACAGATAATCTGTTGACAAATAGTCTTTGTACAACATATGACCGAATTATCAATGTGATTGGACAAATATTTATGTGCTAATATTGACAATAGATTACCAATGCATTGATGTAATACTGAAATTAAATAAAAAAATCAGTTTAAATGAAGCTGTGGAGGTTGTTGAGGTTTCTGGGTTGTTGCAACAATAAGGGATTTTTTTCCCTTTTTTTTACTTGTTTTTAGTAGATGAAAACATTAGACAATGTCAGTATGAGAGTGAACGTCTAAAAACACTGAAACAGAATCTGAAATAGGATTCCTCTTTAACAGAGTCAGTTACACTGCTGTTTGTATAAAAGATACAACATGAACCAAACTCATCGCAGATGTCCTGCTCAGGGTCAGATCCAGGTATTGCTGTCCAGCTCAACACATTCCTCTGCGATGACGATTCGATTGGTGTTGCTGGAATGTTTTTCCAATAATTTGGAATAACACATTTGACCCCAGAACCTTACAAGTGTGTCTTTGTGAGCACACAGAAACACTGGGTGTATAAACTGTGATGTCCAGCACAGATGAAATGTCTCTTTTGTGTCAAATTAAAGCAGATCACTTTATGGGCCTCTGGTCTTCCTCTTCCGCTTTCCATTTACTCTGCATTTCCATCCCTACACAAAGCTGCCTCTCCACGCTGTATTAATGCCCATCAAAGACCTCAATCAAGCCTGCTTTGCCACAGGCTAAAGTCTGACTGTGGAAGCAGGAGTTTAATGCTGCCAGTGCAGCGAGGATGTGGGCTCCCGTCTCCTCCTCGTGCCCCTTGTGTTTTCTCTTAGCCCCCGCGTTCACAAATATCTCGTAAGCCCTGTTTGTGGAACGAGGAATCAGAATCCAGCAGAGGCTACGGAGGCGTTTCAGGGTCACTGACTGTGACAACAGTCTCACTCATTGTACCATCAGGACAATGTCTTGATCTATGTCTCCGAGAGAGAGCGGAAAATTCACATAATAAAACATAATTACACAGGGCTTCCTAAAAAATTAGTCACGACTGTACACGTCAATGGAGTCTTAGTTTAGAAGTTTCCGGCTCCGAGAAAAGTTTGAGAAGAAGTTGACGACTGTCTGCAGCCGTTTGGACTTCATCTTAATCAAGCTTCTGTTCAGTGGAGTAACTCAATTTATTTTGGGCTAAAAAGGAGTTTTCATTGGGGGGAAGTGTTTTTAAAAAAGGTTGTGGACTGGGGTGACACAGGCTGGCATCTGTGGTAAGACAACCCATTGTTTCACTGTATTTCTGTATTTAAACTTTAAAACCTCAGCGTTGGAGAAACTCCACATTTTCTCCTTTACACTTTAAAATCTATGTTTAAGAATAAATATTAAAATAAAATAGAAATAGAAATAGGAATATCTAATTAGTAAATCCAAATTTGAGCTTGATTTACACAGCAAGAAGAGCTGAGATTAGTGACGAAGGAGAATTTTATGTATATATATATATAAACTGTTTTTTAAGTTAGAAAAATAATAGGTGAACATTTACCAAAGTGTTTGAAAGGCACAAACAAATGTAGTTATAGTGAAAATTTAGTTTTTGTTTTTCAAAAAAAAACTCAGTAAATAGCTGTGTGGTGAGAATATTGGATGTCGTTCTACTAGATTCTTGTATTGCACAAGTACATTATTTAGATAGACTGGTCAATCGAAATGGCCTTCAGACTGGTAAAGAATATGAGAGGGTCATAGAGACGTGATTATCATCTTTATTCCTGACTAATAAAGATTTTATATTTTATACATTTCTGAATGTATGAGAGTGTTTAAAACGTGATAAAATTAAGAAAATATAAAAGTAAGAATGCATTAAAACAACAATAAAATTCAAACTGTAAATGAACTAAACCAAAGCTTGATTTGTTGATTTATAGCATGAGATATAGTTTGTTTGTCAAATAATGCAGCTATAAATGATCAGCTCAGTCAATATTCGACCCTTTTTGTGTTAATGTTTATTTCTTCTTCGTGTTTGTGCAGATGTTAATAAAAGATCTTTTTGTGAACATATTCACGCCTGCGTTTCGATCCTGTCTTATTCGGAGCAGGTGTCTCTGCAGTTGAAGGGAAGTCTCCACCAGCCACGCCAGAAAACTGACAAGTAAATAACATTTCAATAGTCGATACTTCCTCCGTCACGTTCAAGTACCGGCCGCCTCGTGCTGTAAAATAATGTGACCTGGCCTGGTTCTCATACAGTATAAACAATTACAGTCAGTTGAAAAGGGACACTCTTTTTCCCCTAAAGGAAAAGGAAGATATACTGTAAGTTCTAGCATGTGGCCAAAGCATGAACCGTCAGCCCCTAAACATGCCAATGGAAATAAAAAACATACTACGGCCCATCTTTATTTACAGCTGCAGACTTCCTGCGGCAATGCACGTAATAAAAAACAGATCAGAATACGTCCAGGCACCTATAGCCCTGCAGCGCTGCAGGTAAACACTGTGTGTCCTGGAGGAAACCCCACGTAAAACGTTTCCAGTGTCTGGAAGCAAAGAAGGAGTCCTTGAACGCAGCACTGAGTTTAACTGTGTAGTTACTGTAACCAAAAACCTTTTGAATTGTAAATTTAAACAAATGATATAATATTATTATACAATAGAATCTTTAATGTGATTATTCCCTGAAAAATGAGTTGAATCCAAAAGTATATTTCTCCAGGCAGTACTCGTCTTTTTTTTATTAACTCAGTTTCCCTGCAGGCTGATGACATGTGGAAAAAACTCTGCACTAATTAGAATTTGCTGGACCGTATTAGATGAAACACAAACTGTTGTAAAGTCATTTTATCTTTTTCCCCCCTTCCTCTGGAGACAGTTTAGTGTCAGCCAGGTTTTGCAGAGCATGAACATGAGCTCAGATGTGCAGTGACACTTTTCCGCCTGATGGAATTAAGTAAAAATCCAATCATGTAAAATGGAGAGAATTCCTTCTCGGTTTTCTCTCTGCTGCTATTTCCCCTCTGCCCCCTCAACACAGGCCTAATCATATATGTGCACGTGTTCACCATGTGTGCAGGACTGCGTGGATATGGATGTTTGGATGTACGTTCAGCAGTGACTCTGTAGAGCTGGTTTTCTGTCAGTCTGTATAAGTGTATCTGTGCCACATCTTTCTGCTTCCTGTCAGTGTGTACGTGGATACAGGATCTGAGCACATCTACAGGAGGAAGTCTGACTTAAACACTGGCACCTGAGTGAACACCAGGATGTTTGTTGTTTAGCACAGAGTGTAACCTGAATTACAATATTTACAGGCTGATTGTATTACTTTTATTTTCTTTGGTCTGTTACCAGTGACAGCCACAACAAAAGATACCACTATCTCTATAATATAATTTGGCGACTGTTGTCGTATATTTCTGTATACGTATAAATATAAATATATAAACAGTTTCAGCAAGATAATATAAATGTAAATATATAAACAGTTTCAGCAAGATATGGTAGAATATAAATTGTATTATGACCATTGTGATAAAAACATTATAAAATAACTGCACTGGCAGCAGGACGGGATAACAACACTCCTAAAACTGCAGCTCTTTCATTGTATTGTCAGAGTGAGAAAACCTAATTCAATACCAATCCTCTGTGTGTAATGTAATCACATATGAGTCAAAAGACACTGCCATTACTGCCGTTCTCCTCCCAGTAGATGTAACTAAGGTAATAAAAGTCAGAAAAGCTGTTGAGCGTTCACTTCTCCATCCCAGATAAACAGACAGTTATAAATACGGACGGCCTGTTGGAAATTAGAAGTTAATTTTTAAAGCAAATACAGTGCACATGTTTTTCATGACCTCACAGCTTCAGCTCGTGTATGTGCGTAAATATGACAACTATTTGGACTTTTAATGGTCCTTTAGACCCAATCAGTTTAAGTGGAAATATAAATATAGGAGTTTATTTTACATCTTTGCGGTGGCAGGAAGGTAGGTCACATGACTAAAGTGACTTAACCTTGTCTGCAGGGATCTGATAGGACTTCTGGCTGATGTGACTGTTCATTCTGGTAACATTGAGGGTGTAGCAACAGTGGAGTAGTGTTTGAGTAAGGAGAGCGTGTTCTCTTTGACATGTTTTTAAAATGTATTCCTACATAACCTGTATTTGAACTGTTTGATGTTGCTCGTATTAAGGCCTATGGCATGAACTGTTTTTATCGCATGCAAATTATGTCTCAATACTGGGAAGAAAATGCAAAACTCTAAATATTGTTATATTTATAAAGATGTATTATATATATATAAATATTATATACGTAAGCAAACCTTCATAATATGTGTTTATGTTTAGAATAAATAAACCGGTAATACCGAATATAGTGGTAATTACATGTTTTATATATAAAGAAAATCAGCTGTTGTCATTGAATTCTTTTTGCCATTTTCTGAGCTGGATATTCCATCAACGGCCCCGGTTTAAATAAAGGTATAGCTGGGATTAAACAACAGTCGCATCACATGACAACGTTGAGGATTTATTTATTAGCAGCTATTGATTGTGGGTATTTATCTGCCTCTCTGCCTCGGAGCGGTTGAACCATGACGAACGACGCGTAAAATCGTGCCCTCTCCGCCCCAGCGCCATCACTCATGCGCTATATTCATAACCAAATGACATTATACTGTCAGGAGTTAGGCCCCCGCCCGCCCTCACATCCCTTTTTAACAGCTAATACGCGGCCAGACTGGTGCATGTCATCCACAGAATCACTCTGGGAGAGGTTTGCGGGCTCCCATGATCCTCTGAGTCAAGAGCGTTTTGTGTAACTCTCCTCAAACCTGCGGGGAGTTGAGACTGTTTGGTCAACGATAGTGGTTCCTAGAAAAGATCTGAATGGTCCTCTAACCAAAGCCAGCTGTGCCAAAGCCATTCACGGAGAGGGTGAGGATGTCGAGGTAAAGAGAGAGAGAGAGTGCATGTGTGTGAGAGAGGGAGGTAAAGAGAGAGAGAGAGGCAGAGAGAGGGAGGGTGAGAGAGAGACTGTGCTCTTCTCTGTTCCTATGACTTTTTTAGGCATGAACGCACAGACCTGTGTACCATACAGCGACATGACATCCATGGATTCATATTATAGCTCCACTGCTGCGCAAGGTCTGCAGACGGACCACTTTAGGACGTTCTCCACCAGCCCTGAAACCAAATACAGCTCCATCACCGCCTTCCTGCCCAGCAAAGGTCAGGCTTACGGAGAAAAGTCCCGCAGCCCATTCCAGCAGGAGTGCCAGTCATTGGATGCCGCCACAGCTGGGCCGGGGACGTTCGGTAAATACCACCTGTTTATGCAGAGGTCGTCCTGCAAAACACCCCCCGAGGACGAAGAGCTGCACCGGGACAGAGGACACAACGGAGCGTCCATCTCCTGCTATGGTGAGTGGACATAGAAGACAAGTCTGCGTATGGGACAGTGCTGTGTGTTTGGAGAGTTGGAGCGAGGGTTTCTTTGTAAAGATATTATTTTGCGAAAGGTTTTCTTCTCTATGTTCCGTGCAGACAGGTACGTTAAGAGAGTGGGTCCTTTATGTTATATCTGGATGTCATTTAAAAACTCTAACAGTTTTGGTCTGTTCGTGAGTTTTGTCTGATTGATTGTCCACTGTGTCCGGTCTAAACCCTAACTGCTGTTCTCTGCGTGCGTTAAAACGCTCGGCCAAACAAACTCCCAGTCCACGACCCAACGGCTCTTAATGACCGTAATGAGGTAAAACAGCAGCCCTAATCTCCACTGATATCACGATTAAATTAGAGTTGATTTAATGTGATAATCTGCACCGTAATCCCTAATATTGGAGTTAATCAGAACTGTTGAATTAGCGAGTGTCAGGCCCTGAACTGATGTCTAACATGTTTTCATACTAACGCTTTTCTTCATTGACTCCAATTAGATTAGATTAGATTAGACATGTTTTCATACTAACGCTTTACTCATAGACTCCAATTAGATTAGATTAGATTAGATTAGGCCCGAGGTTGAAGTGACAGCTAAATTACGAGGGCGAGAACGAAGTTTAACAGAGATAATCTGTGATAATCTGTCACTTTCTTCTTCTTTAAGAAACACAGTCGTGTTAAGGAAATAGTTTCAACAGGATCTGGTGTCAAGAAATAGGCTTGAAAAAAAATTAATGTCGACAAATCAGTACACACACAAACAGAAAAAGAAAGAGAGAGAGAGAGAGAGAGATGCAGGCGAACACTAACACACACACACACACACACACTGTTAAATTATAATAGCGCGTGAAAATTGCAAATCAAACCTGAACATATATTTTATTTTATGTAGATGTGTATAAATATTCCAGGCAATATAAATAATATTAAGTTTATATTAATAATAACATAATATAATACGCATTGAATAATAATAATAATAATTATCCCGATAAATATACACCCCGACTATATGTCAAAATGTTGACATTAAATATATCAAATTTCAATTATCAAATTTTTTTTTATATTTTCAGTGAAAACTAATATATACCGTTTTTTTTCTTTCCAAGCAATAGAAAAATAATTTCGGGAACTTGTCCCCTAGAGTAACTCTCTAATATTCCTGACAATAAAAAAACGATTTCACAGCCTCACCATTATACAAGATTTCGTAGTTTTCGGCTTTTAACCAGAAAATGTCACAAACCGTAACTGAGATTCAAATTCGACTGTTTATTCATATATATAAAAAAAAACTGCCACTAAACAAACACCATTGTTTGAAGGTTTGAATGAGAATGAACAACGGCAGTGAGCTTTAAATGAAAATAACAAAACAAACAAAATAACACACATTTAAGAAGTCTTGCTGCTTGTCATATCACACACACACACACACACACACACACACTGTACATTACAGTGGTACTTATTTATTTGTCATCAGTTTGCAGCAGCGTCGTCCTAATGTACAGTGGTGGACCCGGAGCCACAGTTCAACAACTCTCACGGCTTTGTTTATGACGGTTGTTAAGTTTTTATGAGCCTTTAACTCTGACACACAGATCCGGTAAAGTCAGATTAAATCACATTTATACTGGCCTGTAAACAGGCTTTAAAACGAATAATTACTCTTCCTTTTACATTTGTACTGTACAGTAACGCGCCCGGGTTCAATTTAATTTCTTTCAAAGGAAATTAGGGAAATGTTTAAGTATTTTCGTTTAAACGAATTTTTTTTTATTTGAATTATTTTTCCATTACAATTTTTCGGATTTCAATTTTGTGTCGTTTTTTTTTCTGCCGTCACAGACACTGTTGTTGTTTTGACTGTAAGTTCAGACTGAAAAAATGACAACAACAAAAAAATAAAAATGTCGGCGCTATAAACAAGAAGAGCTGGGGAGAATTAATGCGACTCAGATGTCAAACTGCTTCACTTCTCTGCACACAAGAAAACACAAGAGTCGAACTTTACATTTGAACACATTCACTGGATGGAAAACTACGATTAATACAAATAAATCTGCACATTAATCTGTCAAAGTACAGTTAAACGAAATGACCGGACCGGAAGATATTTGTTTTTTAAATTGTAAACAAATATATCAAGCTTTACTTTGCTCATTTCTGTTTCCGCCCAGTGAAATGTGATGAGATGTGTTCAATGAGACGTTTCCGGTTGAAACCTAGCGCAAATTGCGTGATAAACATTTAGGTAACGTTCATTAGAGTTCACTAAAACACAGGTTTGTTGTTTTGACAAAACACCGCTGCCGAACATGACAACAACATGCAGCTAAAGTGAGTGGCAAAAATACAAGACAATTACACAGGACAATAATAATAATAATAATAATAATAATAATAATAATAATAATAATAATAATAATAATAATAATAATAAATAAAGTGATTGGTTAAAAAATATATAATAAGAAGCCAGAGCAGAAATTGCTCAAAAGTAACAAGAAGTGAAATCATCACAAAAGAAAGTTAGCCTTAAAATTACTTTTAGCTTGAATTAAAGGTTTTTAAGGCCCAGAAATAGCTAAAAGCTGACAATGGTGGATTATATATATATATGTATATGTATGTATGTATTTAAAGTGCTTTTAAAATTTTTTGATGAACCAAAAATGAATTCACTCAGTAACTGAATACTGTCAATAAAAATTCTAAAAACACTCAAATACTGATTGTAGCAGTAAAGTGTGCACCAAAAACAGATAAATATACAGATATTTAATGCATAAATATAAAAACAACAGGAGATAATGGAGAGACCGTGTTTTTAAGGCGACCCCCTCCCTCCCACCGGTGTCTGTGTGAAGCTCCAGAGACCCTCCTCGTCTCTTCTTTTGATATGTGCGTGTCTTCTCTCAGCGTCTCAGGGTGCTGACCTTCAGGTCGACTCTCCTGCTCTCATCTGTTTGCAGAGCAGAGAAAGTTCTCCTTCCTGCACAGGGCAGAAAAAATCCATTTGAAACCCCCCATCTGAAACCCTCTGGAGTCAGAGCCGGGCCCTCTGCTACATTTGGAGTCTAGTTTTACACAGTCAACACTAAACGGCTGCAACCAGACAGAAAGATGTTAGTTTATTGTTGCGTGGGTCTAATTATACATTTAGTGGCGTCCTGCCTCCTGTCGCTTTTTATTCTTGCGCAGAGACGGAGATGTGAAGGGTAATGATACTGTTGATTGTAAGTCGATGACACCAAAAGGCCGCAGCCTTTTTCAACTTTAACCATAAGTTATGTTTTAGGCGAAGCAAGAATTCAATCCAGGTCTGCTGCTGCTCCGCTCACTCAGTCTAAATATTTAATCCCACACAGAACCAGCAAATGACAGTTGAGGCAGAACTCAGCTGTTCACGGCTATGTGAGAGTTTGTCAACACAAACTAAAAAGTTCTGCTCCTCTGTCTCAGTGTTCCGCCGCCATCTTTATTCCACTACAGCGTCTCGTAATGGCCGTCTGCTCTGATTGGTTTGAGCAGGGAGTAATAGGAACCAGCCAGAGAGCCCAGACTAGTGGGGCACACTTCAGCCGCTCGCCGACATGAGTGGAGGTGACACCGACTCGGGTCCATTTCAGTGTTTAGCCCAAAGTTTGGCAGGACAATTTACATTAGGCTCAGTTTGCATGGTCCAGTGAGAGCAGCAGGGCAAAAGGCTCCAGCACTTCCTTTGGTCTCACTGTCACCAGGACATGTTAAATGAAAAGAACCGAGTGGAGAGAACTGCAGTACATTTACTCCCTGTGTGTAGTATACAAACTGCATTAACCAGAAAAGTGAACAATATACGTAAAAATATTTACCAGGGGAAATAACATAGAAAAGATGAGAATGTTGACTGAGTGGAGGAACAGTAAAATGAAAATGTTGACTGAGTGGAGGAACAGTAAATATGAGTTCCAATTGAAGTAATCAAGGATGAGTCGTGTAAAAAAACAATGCTCCTCAGTGAAAGACTGGGACAATACGGTTTAGGGGCAAAGGTCAAGGTTGGAAAATACTGCTGAATGTGCATGAAACCTGGGATTAAAACACATTTATTAAATCCTCACTTTTCCCAGTCGACTTCATCATTAACAGATGTGAGTAACACAGTGGAATAGAATTTTTTATTTTTTTTGCTTTATCTTTTTTTGTCAATTTATCATTATTATTTACCTTTTAGGATTAAACGTGACAAATAAATGGAGTATTTAACAAAATGATACCAGAATTTAAATACAGCTCATATATAAAACATTGTATGTGCTTAAAAAAATAAATGTCTAAACCATTTTAATGTTCCTTCTGACTGTAGGTCTCATCACTAAATGTAAAAATGAATGAAATAAGTAAATAAGTAAAATATAGATTTTATTTCGAACGATTTTCTGCAGTTTCTCCCGCAGAGCTAAAATATTGCCACGTCGCTTTAGCGCGTGCTGCGTGTACGGCCATATTGGCGTCTGGAGCTGCTGCTGCATTGTTGTTTGAACATTCACATTTTCCATTCACGCAGCGATGGGGCACGCTGTTAAGTCACTGTGCCAGCAGAGTATTTTTCATTTTATTTGCGTGCATGCAAAAACAAAAACACACACACACAAAAAAAATCTGCTCTGCTCCAAGATCTGAGAAAAACATTTGGAAGAGAGTTTCTGGGATGGAGACACACACAGTGGGGAAGGCTTTTAGGGAGAGAAGAGTTTTCCATCTTAGAGTTAATGAATTTTTCATTCATCAACATCTTGGGTTTGTCCTGCTGCGATGTTGACTCATGAGTCAGCAGTGCTAACCTGTGAAGTCCATCAACTACAGTGTAGAAATCTTCAACTAGACTTCCTTGACTTTCCTTCAGGATGTTTGAGTTCTCATCCAAGAGAATTCCTCTGTGATTCTGCCCACTGAGGCAGAACTACCTGGAGCTTTCCATCACAGTCAGACCGTACTGAAACAGAATCTTGGATGAGAGAGAAATGTCTTCAAGAAATCTCAGGCAGCTTCCTCGTATGTTGGACCCCCGTGTCGTCAGTAGTATTGGATTTCAAAGGCTTCGAAAGATTTTCTCAGTCGGATGGAAAGGGTAAAAGAAAAGGGGAAAGACGTCTGCTCTGCTGACGCCGTGTCGGACTCTTCAAGTCAGTGTGAAAAAGAAATCAGACTTATTTGTTGAGTTCAACTTCACAAACATATTTCACATCTGCAGTTGTTTCCAGGGGTGGACAGTTGTCCTCAGACGTCCACGATGAGGAGTAGAATCAGTAGCTACGGTAGTGAGTGAACACTGAGGAAGAGTCAGCAGCTCATGGGTAATATGGAGTCAGATACTTCTTATTAGAGTCAGAAGGAAAGTACGTTTTATTATGGCTCTGAAGCAGAGAGGATATATTCCCAGCATGCACTTGGAGACCCACCAACAGCCCCCTCCCGTCCCATCACCCCACCAGAAATGCCCTTCATAAACTATACATCTTGATGTTGGTGTAGAGGCTGTTTCTGATGTTTCTGATGACTTAATCTATGTAACTTCACCACTAGGTGCTGCTAAATCCTGCATGCTATACCTTAAAAATTCTCATATGAATGATATATTTTCATTTGTTGCTTAAGTTTAAAAAAAATCGGAATGTATAATTTAGTGTTGTGGAAAAATGCATAAGAAGAAAGAAACTTTATTTTTATTCATCTTCTGAATGATCGTCACATTTTAGCTGCCGAGCGTTTGTTGACAAATCTAACAAGAAAGTTAATTAGATAAACTTGTCGTTTCCTGTCCAAGCCTCACAGATCCAGCCCTCAGTTTTTTCAGTCACACACTGCACACACACACACACACATACAGCCTGAATCCACACTGAAGTTTAAAACTCCTGTGATAATTCATTTTCTCTGTCCTGACGCCCACTGTGCCCTCACCTTCATCTCTTTTCCGTCTCTTAGAAAAGTAAATGTTTTAGTTTATGTAAAGTGTCACGTTCAGCTGCGGCGCAGAGTGTGACTTACAGTGTTTCCTTTTCACACGGTGAGGTGACTCCTGTCATCCATCGTCAGTATAGTGCTGATGTGACTCAATGTGACTTTGTTTCTTAATGGAAACCTCAAAATATATTAGAGCTTCATCTATATCTACACCTGAGGTTGAGGGAGTTAGGTCTTCACTAAACCTAAAAACAATTATTTTGCTTCCTCTGTGAAAGTCTGAAACCAATAACAGTTAAAGGAATTGTTGAAGGGATTTAAGGAGACTGTTTAAGCTGACGTCTATATATTTAATTTCTGAATTTATATTTTGAAATTAATCTATTGGCTAGATTTGTTTGTGAAATTTAAGATTTTTTAAGGAACTGTTGCTGCTGTCTGCCCTGGCCAGGACACTTAAAAAATAAAAATAAAATAAAAATAAAACGTATGACAGTGTTCACTATAAAAGCACATTTTTTGTACATAAGACATAGTTATGTCACACCACATCAACAGGTTTTGAGCTACTGCTACAAACATCCACTGTATTTAACACTCAAAAGTTCTCAATGGGACTAAAAGGGAATCAAACTACCAATCAGGTCAAGTTCACCATTGTCTGACATAATAAGACAATTTCAAAACTGAAATGAATCTGCCTTGCTGGGCCATGCCTACATTAGCTGTGTGCCTCCCAGGGGCTTCACCCCTCACTCTGGGGGGAGGACCACTGGTATATGTCATTCCACATTAATTAGATGAAATTTTAGAATTTTGCATTTATATGAGATGAACTGAAAAAAACTATGTACTGTATCATAATAAACATTTAGGTCACAAAAGAAACAAATGACGACTGACAAACATCAGACTGCTCTTCTTTAATAAAAAAAATTACATTTTAGAGTGTTCTCACTTATATTTGACAGCCACGAATTTAATAACCCCCCCCCACGCACACACACACAATGGGCCCCTATGTAACACAGTCAAGAATATGAATATATTTCTAAATACTGTGCAGAATTCACTATTATTATAATTAGTTATTATCATTATGATTAGGTTCAGAATGAATAATCATTACTTAACATACTGTAATATATTGATATAATTTTATTTTTTGCAGCCCATTCACCCGATTACAGTGCCTCTGCCATTACACAGCAGTGTATTGTTTTCCATTATATTCCTTTGAATGGACTTTAAAGTCTGTTTCTAGCGTGGCTTTCCAGCCAGTTTAAGTTTAATATTTTCATGTTTCTGTACGTTCTGCAGTTTCTTAAATATCCTCTTATCTTATTTTGTTATAATTTAAAAAAGAAAATTGCATGACTATTGAAACAGCAAATGGACTAGTTTTCTGTTTGACCAAAGACCCAGACCTGAGGTCCATTAGTGCAGGTTCAGGTCAGACTTTGTACGGCGAAAAAAACGGAGATGCTTTTTGAAGCGGCACATGTTTTTCACAGTCTCTTCCTGTCTCTCTCACATGGATTACATCCAAACAGACGTTGTTTACAGTAAGGCTTTCTTATGTTCATCATACATATGGTCCTCTCTGCAGGAGGCTCCGTTGCTCTTTACCTTGGGCTCTGTTGGAGACTCTCACAGTTCCAGAGGTTTGGTTGGATAACAAGAAAGAGATTGTCACAATATTCCCCTCATGCCAGAAAAACATCAGTGACACTGGATATAAACAACGGTCTTTGATCAGTGAGGGGCCTCGCCTTGTGGGGCCTGTGGGTGCCAGCCAGGGAAATATGAAGAAATAACTCCAGAGAATTTTGGCTGCCTAAAACACATTTACTCCCCACAGACCTAACAGAATGCGTTCATCATGAAGACAGAGACAGTGTTGCTGGTGTTGAGACCCCCAGTGAGGGGTTTACCACCACAACATCAACCCTCAGCCCAGATACGCTCCTGGCACTATTAGTCAAGCATCTCAGAAACCAGAGACACATTGCCCACTGGATCTGCGAGAGATGAAATTCATCTGCTGCGGTGCACTGTCATACAATACAATACTGTCAGATAATACAGTATCTGCATTGTGTGCAGTGTGGGGTTTTTAAACTAGCGGGGTTTCATGCTTTCCTTGCAGGGATGAATGAAAGAAAACAACAGCTTCATGTGGCATTGTGTTCCTGCACACAGCTTATCTCGGCGGAGCCCGGACTCAGCGGGATACCAGCACCATGTGCCCGTCCTGAGGCCGCAGCTAAACCTCAGTCATTTTCTGAGAAACAAACAAACCAAGCTCATGGAAAAAACTGAAAAAACTGTAGAAAACACAACAACTACATGGAAAAAACTGTAGAAAACACAACAACTACTTCTGACTTTCACCAGACCGTCACTAAGTTTTAGTCAATTGTTAAGTCAACATATGTACTTTACAGCTTTTACAGCTTTAACTATTGAATAGAAATGGCCAAACAAAGTAATATATCAAGAGTAGGCTTTTGGTTTTAAATCAAGACCCTCAAAAACCTTGAGGTACTTCTTCTTAGGCCTCATAAACTTGAATCAAAATCAGTCATCAAATTGAAATTAGTTACTTTACCTTTGCTGAAAAAAACATTTAAAAGCATCGTAGGTAAGACCCAAGGTACACACTAGTCCAAATTGTGAGTGGTTTTCAAACTCCATACAGAATACGTCAATAAACAAAGGGTTTATGGTTTAAATCAATCAGAAACTCCAGAAACTAAAGTCCCATTAAGAGTAAATTAGACCATAAAGCACAACAGGGCAAAAACACCAGTGGACAGAAAAGGAACAGCAGGTCCTAAAAAAAAAGAGTATATACAGAGTACAAAGAAAGAATTTGTTCTATGGACAAGTTTAAATTCAGTGCAGCTCTCCTTCAGGTTTAATATAGATTTGTCCATTTCTTATACACGGTCCATGGTTATGATATCGTCAGTTACAAAAGCTGCTGCCAGTAAATTCTTTCTTTTCTTTTCTTTTTAGCAGATAGAGGAGAAATGTCCAAATAACTGCAGCCTTTTATCCACGAAAGATTAAAGATCCAGTGAGTCTGGGCTGTGTCAGACAGACTCCATCTATTTATTTAAATTAGATTTAAATATCTAATGTAACAAATACAATAACAAGAAGATAGATAGATGGATGGATGGATGGATGGATGGATGGATGGATGGATGGATGGATGGATGGATAGATAATGAACAGGAAGTTAGATATAAATCTATCCAAAACTGATTGTCTTTTATAAATTGATCCTAATATACTATGTGTCTAGAAGTAAACTGGGAATGAACGACATCTCTGGACTACTTTCTCGGGTTCATTACCTCAGGTCTATGAGAAAACTAGAGAACATGACTTTTGTACAGATGGACGTCAGCATTTATGTTCCCGCAGCTGTCGGGTAAAAAAACATTTCTCAACTTTTAAAGCAGGTGCATTTTTGTGTGGTCATTTCAGAGGTTTGTAAAACTCCGAGTGTCCCAACGACAGAAAGAAACGCCATAAAAATACAGCAGAAAAGACAGTTTCAGCACTTGGAGTGAGGCACTAAAAAGAGGGAGTTGAAGTGCTTTGAAGTCTGAATATTAACAGATTTCCCCTTGTACTTTATTGTCTTGTTCATCTGGAGAATCCACACACATGACTCTCATCAGTTCCCTCCACGCTGCCGCCAAAACTCCGAGGAGAAGCAGTAGATCATTACGCACATTTATCTTACAGTACTTTTATACGCTGTCTGCAGAAAATGAGGGACGGTGTACCTCAGAGCCAAGTTATAACACAACTCTTTGCTCAACATCATGTAATAACCTTCATACATTCCTTTATATTCATGTTCACCTTCTGCTGGAGGGCACCTAATTTAGATATATCTCCTTCGATTCCATCATTTCTCTACTGACAAACCTGTGGAAATGAGAAACTTCTTCACCAGGTTTCCATTTCTTTTTTTTCCCCTCCATGTCGGCAGGTAAAGAAACTCCAGGTCTGACAGACGCCGACTTGGCCCCAAACTCTGATCCGCCCGGAATGGACTCCAGCTACCTAGCTGTGAAGGATCAAGGTGTCAAGGCGTCGACCGACTTAGCCGGTCCTCTGGACAAGGCCGATGGCAGCGAGAGCAACAAGGGCAAAAAAAGGCGGAATCGCACCACCTTCACCAGCTACCAGCTGGAAGAGCTGGAGAAGGTTTTCCAGAAGACGCACTATCCTGATGTTTACGCCCGGGAGCAGCTAGCACTGAGGACAGACCTGACTGAAGCCAGAGTGCAGGTAAAGAAGGACGGCGTCTACTTTGTTCACAGGGTGATTTATACAGAGGGGAGATGGAGTCCAATAAAACTGCAGACAGAGATTAGGACCAATCCCAAAGCAAAGAAATATAAACTGATAGAGAAGTTTCTAAATATTTAGTTCAACAGGGAGTGAATGAAGTTTATTAATGGTTTGACATTGGCTCGTCCTCCTGAGGGGCACTCTGAGGTCGATCAATAGTCTGTAGAACTAGAAACAATACATATAATACATTTATACCTCTTCCTGCACTTAAAGAGATGGGGACATTTGTATTATTTATTTTATTTATTAATTTTAAAAGCAAGTCATTAGTGTGACTTTTCAGGTTTTAATTTGACTATTTCTCACAGGATTAACAGGCAACAAGTTGCCAACAGAGTCATGAAAGCGTGTCCCTGTCAGTTAATCCTTAAAAGACAAAAGGCAGAACATTGTTGAAATAACACAACCTCATGGATCCTTCAACATCTGCAGCTCGGCAAAGAAAACGTCAGTCACAGAACGACACCAGAGATTTATCTGGTGATGTGGGAGTCATGGGGCGAGAGTGGGGGAGTGGGAGCTAACAGAGGCCAAGGGGCCCTAGGGGGGCTGAGAATTGAGCTGCCTGGGCCTCGTATGTGCGAGGAGTAGGTTTTCATCCACACATGAGCGGACGTGTCTGAGTGTGAGGAGTCCAGACAGTTCAGGTGGCAGTGGTGGAGTCTGAGGAGCGCAGGACGTCAGGGATGAAACCTTTCTCTGACCCTGCTGCCCCGTGGATGACCGTGACCACCTCTGAGGAACAGAGGTGATCGCCACCTATTCTATATCTGCGTAACACACACACACACGTGTGTGTTGTGCAGCGTGGACGACTAAAGCCCTGGGATTCTCTCTGTTTTTCTTTCATTAAGATCTATCCCAGACAAGAATGTGTCCCCGCTGTGGTCTCCAGGAAAGGTGTGAACATTTTCCCAAGAGCCTTTTGGCTCATCAACCTTTGACGTGACAAGGTCAAAACTGAATCTTTTGAAAAATATCTACAGAAAAACAAACGCAGGAAGCCAGAGCTCAGTGCCGCCCTGAAGGTTCTAATATGGTTCTGCAGTGAAGCTCCAGGAGTGGAGGTAGGCTGCTCTGATCAGCACAGAGCTACTGGCCTCAGACGGATGGAGCTTCACAGTCTCCGGCCCTCCCAGCGGCCCTCTCAAACACCCGAGTTAAAAAGATAAAAGACCCGAGAAGCCCTGTCCGTCACAGGATGGGGCTCTGCACTCGTTCACTCATTCACACGCAAAAGGAGCCGCGGCTCATGAGCTCTGCATCTGGCGCGTGAGAGAAAAGAGAGATGATAAAAAATTTACTGCCACTAAAGAAAAATGTTTGCCGTAACATCAATTTTCAAGACGCTTTGACTCTTTAAACACAAATTCCATGAAAACTATAGGATTCTGAAGCGTGCGATAACGGCTCAGATTGACAGATGGTTCCGTGCTCTCAGCTGAAAACCTCAGAGTCGGAGGTTGTTTGCTTTTTTTATTCTCTGTCTTTCAAAGAGGCGAGCCAGTCCAGATCAGAGAGTCATATGTACCGCAGATACATGTGGAGGTCAGGGGTCAAGGGTGGGAGGGTTTCAAAAACATCACATCTTTCAGACTTGAGCCGGGACAGCGTCTGACATGTGGAGCTGTGCGGGAAAACACAGGTGTCTGTAATAGTTTGTAGATTCAAATGCATGACGCAAGAGAGGAAATGGGATTTGACCACGTAGAAGAAACAAAGTGCAAAGGCTGACGGAGGAAAGGGATTGGATGTGAAGCAGAAAGGTATCGGCTTTCATTTTGGAGGTGGAAAAAAAAAACATTCAAGACGAGACAGTAAAACAGAAATAAAAACACATGACAGTGGGAGTGAACCACTGTCTGTACCGGTGTTTTTACTACCTGCATGTTTTGTTTGGAGAGTGCTGGGAGATCATGGGTAATTAAAATAATTACACAAAATATATAAATATAACTCTGTAGTGTGTAGTAGTGACCATCTACTGTAGGAATCCAATCATATTGTACCATACAGATACATAACTTCATCAAGTATCTATGAAGTATGGTCAGGTCATATGAGTCAATTAACATTATATATTTAACATGAACCCATCCTGACTGGCTACGCTAACTCTGTGCTGAACTTCACCTCCAACACTACATCAAAACGTCAGCTTATGTCATGCTAGAAACCAGACATAACAGATTGACCATTCAGTTCTGAACCTCAAAATGACTTCTATGTGAATTAGTTTACCGCCGACTAAAATAAACCAACAGTATGTTGTGATACATTCACAGCTAGTGCTTCTAAAGTCCATTCAACTTTACTGACACTACACCAATAGTCCAACATGGTGCAACAAGAGAAATAAAATGACACAGCAGTGATTTTTTTTATCCAAATACAGGATAAACTGCTTAAAGGAAAATATTAAAATTTAAATGTGTTTGCCTGGCTGTAGACCGCCTTCATATCTGTGTCTTATTCTATAGCCTTAGATTAGGGTTTTATTGACTTGAGACACGTTCTAATTTATAGATGACGATTAAGATGCCAACTGTGTTTGATGCCAGTAATTCTCACACAACGTTATTATTTTTTAAAATAGCTGCTGCTTTGAATTTCAGGATCAGAAGTTGAAAAACTTGGAAAATAATAAGGGCTTATATGTGGAAAAGAATGGAATCTTTTAATTGTATTTAGAGGGTTACGTTTATAATGGTAATTAGTGACTCAGTGGCTTAGTGGCTGCAGACTCATTAAAGGAAAGTGAGAAAGTAACAACGACAGCATGTGTCACATCTTGGTTTGACATTTAAAACAGGCGATGAGAAAAATGTTTGGCAGACCAGTGCTGGGAACACACGTCTGAAGCAATCGATGAGAGAAAACTCCACTTTCCCACAGTGTCAGTGCAGTGAAAAGGTGAAGAGCATCTGAGTCACAACCCAAATCTGATTTAATCTAGATTCAAACGTCCATCAAAATCTGTCTGGTCAGAATTTATGTCCTTGTTAGCACAGCTCACAGTGACATCATCATCCTAATAATGGACCATAAAATGGTGTCCTGGATTTACCCTTTAATTGACAGGGGAATTATGAAGTCATTGCGAGGAGAATCCTGGGTAAAAACATGGGTTTGTTGAAGGACAGAACTACTCCGAGGTGTTTCCATCGTATTATGAGTCCATTGAACTTCAGTATAGAAGCTGACATGAGTGACAGCAGAGGCGGGTTATCAATCCTCTGAGTTGTTCTCTTACTTCAAAGTGCCTTCAAAGCCCATTCGGCTCTCCTGCTGCGGCCAGTTTGGCACTTCTCTGCTCTTTCTCTCTGGGGCTGTAACATAAATAAGACCTTATTGAAAGTCCACCAGCTACTTAAGCTGTCAAGGTCTTTAGCAATTACTGTCACAATGCAGTGTGTGCAACACAGAAATATGTTCTGCTGGTGTAATGGCCAACAGACTCGGCGAAATCAGGGAGGGAGGGGCCACAGGAAAACTGCTGGGTGATACTGTACACTCAGACTGGATTAGGGTAAGGACAAATTCACTGCTAGTTAACATGGGTGGGTGAAGTGATAACCAAAGAACCAGAGCATCAGGTGCTGAGTTCTAAAGTTTCAGGTCCTAGTCAGGAAGATCTGAAAAATGGTTTCTTGACTTTGTAGGTCCAGTCATATGGGGGTTTTTTAACTGGAAGATGAGTAGTACATACTGTAGATTCTAATTAATAAAAAATAAAAAATTATTAATTAATTCCCTAATTCATCCCACAATGTGAAATTCACAGTTTCAGTTTTTGCAATCCACACAGGCGCCGTTAAGCATGTGGTTCCTGTTGGGCTCAAACCCATGACCTTCTGTGTGTAAGGCAGGCATGATATACACTGCACTATAGAACAGTGACAACACTTTATCCAAAAAGGATAACACTAATCATTAATCTGGCCTGGAAATATACAGTACTAAATAGAAAAGGCTAGAAAAGCTAAAATGATACGGACGATACTAAAAAGAAAAGGCTAGAAAAGCTAAAATGATATCTAAAAGATATCTTATACGTTGCTAAAGGTTAGCAGAAAACACCTGTCTCAATCTGACGTTAAGACGCTGTCAGGAAAACTCACAACTGTCAGAAAACTGAAGATTGTTCCTCGTCATGATGCTAACTTCTTCTTCACGTATGAAAACCTCAGAAACGGAGGATCACATCCTTCGGCTCTGTGTGCTGTTGTATCTTAGGAGGAGACTGCATCTCTAAGCCGGAGCTCTAGTCCTCAGGAAATTAAAAAGGGAAATGCAAACAAACTCCAGTTCTAATCCCATCTCATGTTTCCATTCCCCATGTTGGCTGCTCTTGTCTGAAGTAAAAAAAAAGATGGTAGGAGGAGTTAGCGCCTCCGTTTGGCCATAATCGGTCCAGTCAGGTTGTTAGCAGTGGAGTTGTCTGGTACACTCCGATGGTTCGTCAAACACAACGACGCTTCAGATAAACAATGGCGTCAGATTAAGGGGCTTAAAAATGATTCCTGAAAAATGTTCCCTGTGACGTAGGAGTGACACGTGTTTACATCTGTAGGTTTAGTGAGCGCTGCAGCCGGGATTGAAATGTTTCTCTTTCACTTGGACGGAGATTTGAACGACAGCACTGGCATTTGAAACTATATTCACATTCTCAGGCTGTCGGTGAAGCTGAAAGTATTTCCATCTCACATTGAAACCCCTGTTTAGACATGGATGGACAGAGACTGTCACCTCTCTCTGCCGTCATGTCAGTGAAGATATGCTGTGTTTGCTCTGATCGGGCCCAGAACTGTGCAGACTTTAACCTTCAGCTGTTTTCTACATTGACGCAGGTTTGGTTCCAGAACCGAAGAGCCAAATGGAGGAAGAGGGAGCGTTTCGGTCAGATGCAGCAGGTCAGGACGCACTTCTCCACAGCTTATGAGCTGCCTCTGCTGACACGGCCTGAGAACTACGCACAGGTACAGAAAAAAAAAATTACAATGGTGATTTGTTCAGTCAAGGAATTATTAAAGATGCTTTTTTTTCTTTTAAAAAACAGGTTTGTCCCCAAGTATATTTAGTCTGACACCTCCCTCTCTTTAGACCAGGGGTCAGTGAACTTTTTTAGCGGTCACCTAGTTATACAAAGAACTACACGTTTGATACAGACTTCCTGAACAACGTAATACTAATAACTAGTTCTGGGACAGACAGTAGCAGACACTCTTCTTACCACTGTCATTCCACCTATTTGAATATCACTGCCAGTGGAACTGATTCCAAAAGCACAGTAACAGTACAATTGTTGACCGTCTTGTTGACTTGTTTTATTTTTAGATCATACCCTGCTGGTACCTTAGGTCAGTCTTTCCCAAACATTTTTTTTCTCTATTTTAAAAGTCACGAACATTCATCGACGTTATTCGTAAACTCCTGGGAATCAGGGGAAACTTGATGCGAGACGACCCAAAAAAAAAAACCTCTTGCGACCCACCTGAGGGTTGCGACCCAGTCTTTGGGAAACAATGCCTTAGGTAGTCCATGTAGTCCAACAGGAGCTAGCCTTCCTCCTTTTCAACCACATTAGGACGTGTCTTCTGATCTGACCGGTGGAGTCGACTAACCTGCTGTGATCACTCTCTACAGTCCCAGATTATTTACTTATAATAATAATATAATCATTTTCATTGTGTTTTTATTTTCTCGTTATCTTGCATCCATCTACTCTGAACTCTCAAACTGCTCCATTTGACCTGTACATGTGAATGACGTCTCTTTACCAACGCTGATTTCAGATCCAGAACCCCTCCTGGATCGGCGGCAGCAGCGCGGCGTCTCCTGTACCCGGCTGCGTCGTGCCCTGCGACACCGTGACCCCCTGCATGACTCCTCACCCCCACTCTGCCAGCGGGGTGTCTGATTTTCTGGGCGTGCCCAGTCCTGGGGGTCACGTGGGACAGGCCCACATGGGCGGGCTGTTTGGAGGACCGCCGGGCATGGCCGCGGGCATCAACGCATACGATCTCAACATGGACCCCGACCGCAAGTCTTCTAGTATCGCAGCTCTGCGCATGAAAGCCAAAGAGCACAGCGCAGCCATATCTTGGGCCACATGATGTGCAGATAGACGCCGGAGGGAGGATTGGGTCCACTCCGAGAATGCCACACAAACCCCAGCATGGCGTTAGGGGGCGACAGAGTAGAGAAATCTGCAGGCAACAGCGACTACCTTAATGAGTGTTGCAATATGTTAATTATGCAAATACAGAGACTACACAATGACAATGACACCGGGAGAGAGGACACGACGGCACATCGGTGCTGCGGTTCTCTCTGACGGAGGGGGAGTGACCTGAGCTGTGTGAGCAGAACCACAGAGTGACGCAGTGTATTTCTGATTGGAGGAGTGAGACATCCGTAGGTAAAGATTTTTAAAAACTAGTCCGTGCACTTAATGCTAAAATACAGGAACTGGTGTTTGTACAGTGTCCAGTTGTCGTTCTGTTTCGTTGTTCGGGTGCCGTTTTGATTTTTTCTTTATCTTGTTATTTAAAGTTCGAGTGTTTCTTTCCCCCCACAGTTGTTTGTGGCTGATGTTTATTTCCTGTAAGCGTCCTTAGAAAGCCTTCTAATCTTTATAAGACGTCTTTGATCCGCACAAGACTGACTCGTCATGTTTGGTGCCAGGTGGAAATAACTGAAGACGCAAGGTGACGGTGTTTTTCAGTTACTAATCCTTAGCATTTCAACAGCAAACATAGTTTGGTCAGACACATCAACCTGCCACACTGACTCGCTCTTCTGATGGCCGCAGACAGAGGAAGTGTGAGGAAGTGTGTGTGTGTGTGTGAGTGAGCAGTGGAGGGTCACAGCGGCGGCCTCTCAAACAGAGACGCCTCTGTTTTCCAGCATTTCCACTCGCAGGAGTTTCACAGAAAGCAGTGCCTACTTGTCAGTCCGAGCGCCAGAAATAACAGTGAAACCAGCAGCTACCACACTGGAAACAGAAGCAGCAGATACACAACGCAGTGTGTTGACACCCTTGAGCAGTCAAAGGATGTTGGTGCAGCTCTGTTAAAGCTGAGCAATAAAATCTCATTGTTGCCCCGTCACATCTTTCAACTCCTCCTCAATTTCCCTTCAAAACTGGAAAACTGTGTTTGTTTCAAGTGGAGTTTTTACAGTAAAAATCGTCCGTATTCATCTCAGTTTATTTGGTCCATGTGGGACACAGAAGTGTAGTGTAGTGATCCACCAAAGAGTGTAGACAAATGCAGCCCAGCTGAGCTTTGCTGTCAATCGCTGTTCCCAAAATATCATCACAAATGCTGCGCAACATGATTTTGGATTCCTATAAGACACCAAGGAGCATGTTTATATGCAGTATTAGGGAGAAGCCCAGTTTAAACCTAGTGACTGTAGAGACAACGACAATCGACTGTTACCATCTTGCAGAACCTGTGAGAATCAGTAACCTTACACTATACAAAAGCATCATTATCATACAGTTCACAAATGTCTGCAATAACAAAAAAATAATAGAAAAAATCATTATCACAATTCCACCTCCACCTAAGTGAGGGTGTATAGCAGTGACTATCAACATGTGGCCTGTGGGCCAAATCCAGCACGCCAAACTGTTTAATCTGAGGCGCGACTGGATTCCAAATTTGTGACGATCAAAGAAAAAATAAAAAGTGTGGTCATTACCTTTAAAGCAACTGAAATGAAAATTAATAATTATCAGTGTCATAATCATCAAATAATTATGTTGATGATTAATAAAAATGTGATTTTTATTGAAGTTGATCTGCAAGTCCGTCCCCCAGGATGTCTGTCCAGAAAAATTCTTACCCTCAGACAAATATACACTGGTTGGTGACCCGTTATATAGACCAACAAAACCAGTATGAGGTGATGAGGTTTTGAATTCACAGCATCAGTGTCAACAGCCAGTCACAGCCAGTCGGACCGTGCTGTACTAACTTTAGTTATTTTGACTGATTTTGATAATACGATCTACACCATCATCTGAGTTTTTGCGTTCATATTCCAAACCCATTGTTTGTGTTAGCCTGTGTGATCACATGACGTGCGTAACACTGACTGACAGTCACCACCTTCTGGAATCCGTTAGACCTGAAGCCCGGCCTGCTCGGCTCCACGTCTCAGGTTTCTCCTCATCTACATGTTGTTGTGTTCTGCGTCCTGAAGGTGAACTTGAAGGCAACAGCAGCCCAAGTTTGATTGACCTTAAACCAGCACTGTTTGGGCAGAAGGTGCAGCAGGTTTGACTCTTGTCACATCGCACCGTTGTTTCCCACCATTACAACACATAAACAGGAGTGGTTTTAGTGAGACCACCAACGTGTTGGAGGAAAAGAAAAACACTGCCAGGAATCTTCTGTTTACCAACATCAGGCCTGGGGAACAATGTGCCTTGTGTTTGTCTCGCTCTGTAAAAAATGAGGTAAAAGTAAAAAAAAAAAAAAAAATGATAAGAATCGTTTCTGAATTTTAAAAACATCTCTTTATCTATCATCTCATATTATTTACATATTCAAACACAGATGCCCTGGCGACTGCCTCCTCCGGGGACAGGAATAGCAGATGATGTCGAACAATAAGCCTGTGCATGTTCTTTTCTTTGTTGTCATGGTCTGACTTAAGCTCTGAGCATAACAAAGGGGTTTCATGGTTTTGAAAGGCAAGTCTGAATCCCCGTAGAACACCTCCAGGCAGAGCAACCATTGCTAATTCTCTAAACTGAACCACATTCACTTGTCCTCCTGCGGGCAGGTTGAAGCAGCAGAGGTTCACAGCAGCTCAACCTCAACTCTTCCAAATTATATCCACTCTTATTCTCCGCTCCAAATCCGAGGCAAATGAATAATCTATAGTACTATTTTTTTTAAAGTAAAAATGACAAAGGAGACAGTGTCTGTATGCAATGTTGAGGACGTTCGCCGTGTTCTGAAAAAAGCGCGGTGCACACAGCTGTGCTGGAGGGTAAATGCAAAACAAACATGCCTCACACATGCTTCCACCTCAGCTGTCATGGATCTGCTTTCACAGATTCACCCCCACATTGTCTCACACAAACACCCGTGTCTCTCACTGTCTCGGTGTCCACTGGTCCAAAGCTGCAGTAACCCTCCCTTCAAACCCACCACAGTGACCGGGGCAGGAAGGCTTTTTAATTAACACTGATCCAAGTGCTGGACATTTTCTACGAGACTGTGTCAGTCGCTCAGACAGTCAGACATTACTGCTTCCCTACAGTGTTACACAGGCAACACACAACTCACTGGCACTTAGAGCAGGAGCTCAGGTTAACACTGTGGACACCAACTTGCTTTGTTACCAGTTCCTGTTTCTTACTGCGTCCTCAGTCGGACTGCTTCAAAAGCCATTCTCTAAATTAGAATCAATTGTTAATCTGTTTATGATGCAGTTTTTGGCCACTTTTGTTTTAAATACTACTGAGGTGAGGTAGTCAGTATAGAGGTATGAGTATAATCAACAAGAGTACCTGCAATAATGGATGGAACAGTTTAAACTATTGGAACATTATAGGATTTTTTGATAACACGGATTATCCACATTATAGGATTTTTTGATAACACGGAAACGTTTTTTTTTTAAAGGTAAAGGTTGTGTTTGACCATCTTATTGGTTTGTTTCTCTGACTTTTTATTGTGACTTTTACATTGTCCCTTGTAAAAAATGTGTTGATTGTATGCATCTTTTGTGCTTTTGTTTCATTTTGTGTTTAATTAAACTACAATAAGTTATTGCAAACCGGGTTTTTTTTTATTCTCCCCTCATTTCGTCTTCTAAAAGACAGTGTAAGAGCGAGACAAAGGGTTCCTGTGTGGTTGGATGTGACGCCGCTCCCTCCAGCCCCTCTGCAGACAAACTGTTACCACATTGCACAAGGGAGGAATCAAGACAATCAAGACTGTTGTCCCATCAACAATTTGATATCACTCAAGTTGCCTCCAGTGTCACAGAAAACATTTTCAAGTCTGTGCTAAATACACTGTCTGGCGACTCAGTGAGAAGAAAAATCAGTTTTGGTTCTTTTTGGACCGTCGCGCTCAGCCAAAATATGGTGTCATCCTCACAGTCACATTCTCAAATCCCCACGCAACACTGTGCCTTTGAAGGGACGCAAGTGCTGAAACGAGATCGCACAGCCCACAAGAGTATCACGCTAATTGAAGATGACAAAAATACGAACTGCGCCCTTTTGAACTGCTGACATTGAACAGAGTGGATTAGGTGGCGTATATTAACAACAGGTGACAGGCTGGAGGGAACAGTGGATCCACAGAGTCACAGAGGCTCTGGAGTGGAAGATGGATCACAGGATGGAAAGTTAGAGGAAAAACACACACGACTTCAGCCTGATCTTTATTTAAAATTAAATAGGTGAATTTGTGTGTTTGTATCTTTACATACAAACACACAAATAGAAGAAGATTGAAGAATGTGTTAAAAAAGTAAAGGTCATGTAGAGTAAAGACAAGCACAAATTTTAAAAGGTGGCACAGTGACATAGTGGATGTAGCTTTCGCCTGATAGGAAAACAGTCAACTGTTCAAGTCCCGGATCAACCTGAAGGCTCTTCTGGCTGGGGTTTGCTTTTTCTCCAGCAAAAAAGATAAAAGATTGGAAACGAGGTTAACTGGACAGACCTCGTTTAACACAAACAGTGTGAAAAAAACAGAAATTAAACCACAAACAACAAAAACATGGGAAATATATATATATAACCATTTCAATACACGTCTGACGGCAGAAATGTGGATTTAGTTCAACGGCCATTGTTCACATTTATAGTAGATTTTCAGATGCATGTCAGCGACTACTATAACTTTGTTTCACGCACATTCATAAAACCAGAAAGTACTTAGTGGATGCGTCTGACGGCACCACTGCGTTTATTTACATATGTATTAACAACATAAAACTGCTGGGGCATAAAAAGAAATTGCACTTCACTGTGTTCCAGTAGCTCAGCATCATAACTCGGTTTGTAGTTTTCCACTTTTCCTCTTACTACCATTTTATGGAGCAGACTGTGTCCGTATGATCCATGTAAATAAACAACTGCCATGTGTCCCTGTTATTTTTTTAAATATATCACATTGATAAAACCTACATAAATATGTTAAAACAACTTTATCAAAACATAACATGGATATTTATTTACAGCAGAACTAAAAGAACCTGGTCCGTGATATTTTAGGATTGTATACTGTATAAAAGTCTTATGTGTAGTGCTGGGCGGTATACCACTTCACCTGTGGGTCAATTAACAATATATAATAAGTAAGCAGGAGCCATTAATGCTGACCTGTGAAAATAGGGCAACCGGTCTACACTACAGACTGTCTGCACAACAAACAAACACATACACACACAAACACGTGTGTGTTTGCATCAGTGATGCTGACCGTAAAGAAAAAACAGTAACAAATGTTCATGCAAGAAAAGGTGTTTTAAATTAAATTAAAATGAAGGTCTGACGACACAGTAGTAGCAGCAGCACTAAGCTCAGCAAAATGATCATTACTTTAATAGGTTTCTGTCAGCTAAATGATCATTACTTTAATAGGTTTCTGGCCTTAATTAATAAAATACAAAATCAATATTGTTTTTTTACTTGTTTGTTTGTTTTCTTTGAAAAAAAAAAGCCAAAAAATTGACACGTAGACCAAATAATATAAAAATAAATAAATAAAATATCAAGTAAAATGTAAAATCATGCTCCACATCTCTGGTGATACCGCCCAGCACAACTCTACACCAGGGGGTGTCAAACTCAAATGAGCTGGGGGGCATCTGTTGCCCATGCCACCTCAATAAAGGCCCACCAACTAACAGCAGGGGGTCAGGTTACATTATACTGCCATCTAGCTGCAGACCATGTGTAGGTGGTTTATGGGCCAAAAGCGGCCCACAGGCCGGGAGTTTGACACCCCTGCTCTATTCACTGATTGTTACACAGATTCATGAAGAAAGAAGTGTTGAGCATTAACACTGTAACAGACAAGTCATTTATAGTCAGTTGACGGGGCTGTGATGTGCTAAAGAATAGTTTTATCAATTACTTTCATTGTCAAACCTTTTTTTTTTTAAGTTTCCACGGTCAGTGCTGGACGGTCCAACTCACCTCCTGACTTTCAACAAAGTAAAGAACTGACAAAGTCGTACCAACCATACATGTCTGAATGTCTCCATATAAAAGATGAGGAATCCTAAAGTGTTGAGGTTGTGACCAGGTCCAAACCTTGGTCATTGTTTAGTCAGAGGCTGCCGATGTTAGGAAAGCTCTTGAGCTTCTCAGGAAAGTCGTCTTTGTAGAGAACCGGGTCGGCGCGATGTTCTACCACCTTCAGGGGCATCGTACCAAACACTGAAGCAAACTTGTTGATGCACTCCGATCTAGCACAGAGAACACAGCGATGATAAGATGTTTTCAGATGTTATTTTCAGAAATTCTGCACAGACTGACTACCATACCTCTCCACCATGTGTGTCTGGTCCAGGGACAGTCCATCAATGGCCGTACACTCCGGGCACTTGAACTTTTTCCTCGGTGTTACCTAACAAGAATCAGTCAGTTTAAATCAATCAATTCCACTGTTTAACTTCAGCTGCTTAGTCAGAAGCCAATAAACTGTCCACTCTCATTTGGTAATTTAACAAAAATGTCTGTTACAATCTGACATCAATGCTGCATTTAAATGTCCGTGCAGTGAACTTGTAAAGGAAATAGAGGACAGGCAGATGGAGACAAGAGGACTAGAGACTCTGGTGTGTTTCTTTTAGAGGAACCTGTTGAAGATTCGCTGAAACATAGGAGTTAGTTGAAATGTTCAGCCTGTGAATTGACAGGAAAGGCGTTCATCAGTTGTGGTGAGCCTAAAAAAACACTGAGCACAAGGTCTGATGTGGAGATGAGGAGGGGGGAAGCCGTGTTGACGAGGAGTGAGAGCTGATCAGACCCAGAGATGGTGGTCTGTTCTGTCAGGCTGCTAACGTCAACAACACAGAACGGTGTCACCACTGAATGTACCTTTATTGGAGCTTTGCCTGTGATGTTGGCCACCAGGAAATTCATGGCAATATCTTCACAGTTCATGTGAGCGTCCACCCAGTTCTTAATGTCTCCTGGCATTTTGTAGGTGTACAAGTAGTTGAAGTACTGTAAAAATGAAACACAAAAGATGGCCTCATGGCAGTGTTGATTCAACAGGTTCAGTACGTGGAACACTGATGATGCTGTTTCACCTTGTGTGATGTGATGGCCCATCCTTATCAAGGACACTGTGCTTATCTCTTATTCTGAACAAGGGATTTAATGAAATCCTACATCTGCTCAACAAAAGGCTCTAATGTGGGGATTGCCAGGTACTTCATTCAAATACTCATATTGAAGACTCAGCTCTGAGCGTGCTGTTCTCAGAAACCATTTTCTAGTCACTTTTTTATTGAGACTTATTTAACCATCATTGTATTCAGTTGTTTATTGACACATTGAAATAGTGCTACACAGTTATTAACTGCAAACCAGGAGACAGCGTTTTCAATTGAAAAGCACTATTGACTGATTGGCATTTTTAAATAATATTTATTTGTTTTATTGTTTACTGATAAATTGTTTTATATGATGTGTCAGTTTGAAGATTTGTGCTTGAGACAAAACAATTTGTTTCCTTTTGGCTTGAAATAAATCTTCTGTTAATCAGAATGAAATAAAACTGACAGTTTGGATTTCCCTGCTTGATTCTTCACTGTGGTTTAGTTTGACCTCAAACACGTACTCACACACACGCAAAAATGTGTCAATATTTTTTTATAAATACGGTACAAATTGCAATTAGGATAAATATAAACACATTTTTTAGCCTTCATAAATAACTATTAGACAACGTAAACCTAAGCAGCTTGCTAGCTAAGGTTCAGCTCCAAAAGACTATTTTACCTTGTGATAGAAGGCAGCTCCAGTTAGGACCATGGAGACCTCATTGGTCCACTCTGACTCGTACTTCCACTTCCCCATCTCATGATCCCAGAGGTGCAGTCTGCCTGGGTAACCGACCAACCTGTCTGGGAACTCCCGCCAAACCTGCAGATTGGTGAGACGATGGCAGTCGGAGCATGTGTGTGAGATCGGATGAGAACAGAAGTCTCAAGAGTAAATTAATAAAGTCGAACTGGGGTTTAAAACAGAACTCAACTCTCCATGTCACCTTTTATTTCCTAACACATTATTCCTAGACTTAGTTTACCACTGGGAGACATATTGAAATACTAAAGACTGTCATATGGAGCCTGACTAAGCTGAATAGCCAGGGATTGACACCAACATCTTTTCTCCCTTCTGGTAGAAACCATATCATCTACACAGCCTGTCAGTCACATTACTCCGCCTGTAATTCTATGTAATTATCTTTAAACTGAGCATAATTCTATAAAATGCCTTCTAAATGGATTCAGGTGAGTGGGCTGCACTAGGCCGGAGAAGGCAGGTATGTGGGCATGGAAAGCATCAGCTTAATGTCTGTCATCATTCTTCACACATCAAACACCCTCCCCTCCAGGAGGCAGGCAACCCCAAAGTGGTCAAGAATGAGGCGGTAATCTCTCTGACAGACTTTAATCTCTGGGATCAACGGTGAATGCTCCGCTGCTATACCTTAAAGGGAAAGCAGGGAAAACGTTGAACTTTTCTTTTTTTCTTTTGCACGGGCAGGAGTCGGTTTCTTACCTCATAGCCAAACTGCAGCTCATCCGAAGTCAGCATGATGATGTCATCATCGATGGCGAGCACAGCTTCTGTCTCGATTTCGTCATAGGGAAAAAAGCGGTTGCTCAACTTGTTCTCCTTGGTACGCACCACTTTGAGAGGAACGCCGATTTTCGGCCAAAGCGATTCTACAGACGACAACAACAACAACAACAACAACAACACAAAGATGGCATTTGAGTCAACTTCACATTCTTTCAGCCAGTAGTTGTCAGAACGTTAGGTACAGACAGTCCAGATGTTGATGAAAGACCTAGACAAGAATGTGCACATCTGTACGTGAAACTCTGTCTGGTTCTCCCTGTCTGACAAGGTGGACAATAAAAACTTTTACTGATGTTTTAAGGAACCACTGGTGCAGTGGGATTTCTCCCAGTGACTCAGACAATCAGTCTGAAACGGCATATAAGCAAATGTTAATTGGAGTTAAGAGCACAAGCACAAATTTATTTATTAACTACAATATCAACAACAATCAAAACGGCCTTATTAAAAACTCCTCCTTTATCAGTGAAAACACTGAACACATTCTTCCGTGTCCTTTTTCCAGTTAAACACAGGTTCAGGTCAATGACCAAATTACAGACTAAGGTCTGTAAACGCAAATTATCATAAATATGAGTTGTAGTCACACAGACAAATTCACCACTTGGCACTATAACTCACTCATTTTTCAGGGATTGAGTTGAATTAGAAACGTGGCCACTACCAGTCTGTGAAGACGGGTGAGGTATTATGATGTCATTTACCACTGACAGGAACATTTTGAAGCGTGTCCTGACAGTGGAGAACAGTTCTCCAGGATTTCAAACTTCACTCATTGACTCGTATCTCTATGCTAACCTCAAGCACGTGTTGAATTAACCACAATGCATTCTCCATTCTTCAGGCCAGCCTTTCAAAGATCTTGGGCATGATCCACGGCACGGACGATTGCACAGACGGATCACACAGAGTGTGTCCCATCATTAATGGGTTAACTGAAGCCTGGCAACCTTTAAAAAGAGCTCCAATTCTTTGTAACCACGTCTGAGGTTTGCTGTCAGGAGTTATTGTCAGTTAAAGTGCTATGTTAAACACTCTGGGTTGTTTTTTTCTTTCAAACTGCACAAGTTGCCATCAGTCCTTTTTATATATTTGAAGCAGGAAAGAGACAGTAGAAACGAGGTGATTACCAATTATGATCTCCAGTACAAAACTGTTGCACGGGTTTAAATGCACACTTCCTGGCAACAAACACACAACAAAGGGAAATGATAATGGTGACGACTAAGTGACTTCTTTTATCCAAGTGTTCTGCACTAATTGGGGCTGTGTGGCAGTTGATCTCCGCCGCGTTGATCATTAAAGGGAAACCGGCTGGTGGATTTGATAAATGACATCAATCTTCTCAGCTTTTTTAAGGCTAGAGGACACCACTTGGATAAATGGATGAGGATTCACAGTATAGAGGAATGACTTGTCAATAGCTACATGTTCAGTCTAATAAGTGACAGAGCTGCAGGCGGGCTCCACTAATTCTCCTAATGAAAGAGCAGCTCAATGTCACAAATGAACACTTGAAGTTGCAATTGGATGAGAAGCATAGTACACAACTTATGATGGTACATATGTGGATGAGAAAGTCAGAATGAGAGGTTATATTTACTGAGAAATACAACATAGGACTCTAGATCTGCCAGATGCAGAAACTTCTTATTAGAAAGTACCTTGGTCAGTCACATATTCACCAAAAAAACAGTTTCTGTAAAATTGAGCAGTTCATATTAGAGTTTATTATCCTCCTTACTACATGCTGGAAAACCAGAGACTTTACCTTAAATATCAAGGATTACTACAGACACCCAGCTTCCGTCAGACCAGCCATATTGAGCGTGGGGCAGTAAATGAGTCCATGACCAGTGTTCAAATGGATCAGTGGGTTTTTGACATTTTTACATATTAATAATTCCATCATTTGGAATTGTCAAACATTAAAAACAAGTGTGAAATAAAAACATCTACTTGCTGTTACACGTAATTCTTTTCACTTGTGTTACAGCACATATATTTTCATATTCTTGAAGGTTATCTCTTACACTCACCCTCAGGAGGACTCTTGTTCTGGTTATTCCAAACCACCAGAAGTTTAGCCAAGCTGGGTACCTTGGAGATTTCAGTAATGACCCTGAAAAGGCTTTCAACACGATCGTAGGTCAACACCACAGCTGTGAATCCTGGCGCCCTTGGTGGAATTAGTGGCAAAAACAAAGGGCTGTTCACGCTGGTCCATTTCTACAGGAAATGGGGGGAAAAATGTAATGTTTAAAAAAACTGTTCATCATATCTGTGTTTATATTAACCTCTCCTCCAGATAAACTGGGGTAGTCCTTTGTCTTTTCCAACAACCTCCTCTGACAAGTTTTTCATGATTTTAATGCAATATAATGACTTCTCATTGGACAGTGAGGTCACATGCAGTCAGTTCCAAGTCTGAGGATTATTCAATAAATTTTCCTGAAGGCTAATAGAGGTTGAATGGGAAAAAAAAAACACAGGTTGTCATGAAGACTGCCAAGTCAACCCTACAGAAGCAGCGAGATGACAAAAAGCATGAGATGAGAGTTTGCACACAAGACGAGTGGACTGCACTCATTTATCTACTGCCTGTGATGTCGTCATGAAATGTTGAACTTTTGTCAGATGTGTGTGAAATGGAGCGAGTGAAGAAAAAATTGAAAAATTGGAGGATTGGTTTCCAAGAAGTCCAGAGGAGCCACTTATCTGTAGGTTTCTTTAAAAACCGTTTGCATAACTCTTACAAAATGAAGCAAAAAGAGAAAGAAGATCCCTGCTGGACAAACTTGTATGAGGTGATTTTTTTGGATTAGCACAAAAAGACAAGGGGTCACAGCTGGAGCCGCAACAATAGGTAGTTTAATAAGATAAATTGACTCAAAAATGGTTTTAACAATTGACCAATGATTTCTTTTTAATGGAGACCCTTCAATAGTGGTTATATGGTAATCATCTGTTGATAAAACTGGGCGAAAATCTCTGGTTAGTGGAAAAGAACATTTTCAATTATTTCTTAGTTTATGGGGCAAAGGAGGAAAATAATTCACTATGAAAAATAATCAGTACCTTCTGCCCAACATTAGTGACAAATAAAGTTTCACTCTCAATAAACCTGAATGGCTGTTTCCCACAGGGACAGCCAATAACTAGATTACAATCTTGCAGTCGATCCCATTTGAAAAATAGATAAAATCCAATCATCTGGAGTGAAGTAGTGACCATCTACATATTGTATTGTATCGTATTATGCTGTTAGGGGTTCACACAGTAATACAGAACACTAGTATATCCTGCTAATATAAACAAGTACCTCTAACTTATCTTTATAAAAAACATATATATTCAATATTTTTAATCAGGAGATATTTTTGAACTGATTTTAAAAGTAGTTAACAAGTCACAAGATTGTGCCCACCACCAGGTAGAAAGAAACTGAACCGTGTGACTCTGTGTATGTAAGGTCCATATAAACCCTGTTCCTCCTCCAGTCTCAAGTAAACACAAGCAAACGGTTACGTAGCTCCTTCTGTTGCAGGAACACAGGTCTGTCAACAGGACTCATCCTTAACACAACATCAAAAACTGCTCCACCCATAAAAAACACTTTACTGGCACGTGGAAACTTCCATGTAGCTGTTGTCACATTGATGTTTAGGAAAAGGAGGAAATTATTAAAGTAACATGTATGTCTAAAATGGCACCACTTCAAGTACTTTGTGAAGTGAAAAGAAAAACCACATCTCAGTATTTCACTTACAGATCTGAAGCACTGGATTTTACAAGTAGCTGTAATGTTTACAAAAAAGGTTAAACTACATTAAACTACACTTCTTTGAAGGAACTATATCTTGGAGCTGGAATAAAGATAAGATACATAAAATGTACTGTGTCTCTCTGTTTTGGCCTTTGTGGATGTGCACACATGAAGTCTACAGCAATCATCGTCAACAATAACAGTAAAATGTTTGCCAAGTTTTTCCAACAGTATGTGACAGAATAGGTTGAACCAACTGATCCTTTATATTAATTAAACTTGCCTGGCCTTATATTTAAAGAAAAAACCCACAAATTTGTTCATGAAGCGAGGGATAAACAAAGTTCTAGCCATTACTGTAACTTGTGAACTAAGTCGTTATTACATTTCTGGCACACATGAAAGTTTAAAAGGATTGTATTCCTGTCAGGTTTAAACCTTACAAGTGTACGTTGCCCACTACCAGCAACTTCCAAACAAAAAACAGCTTGTCCTTTATTCTGAAATCCCCTCTAAAGGCACCAGCGATCCTAGGAAAATGTGCTTTCAATTACCAGCATAAAGAACTACAGGAGGAGAGGGAGAACATGTCTGTCTGATTTATTCTGTGTGCAAGTATTCTGTGCGAGCCCTTCTCACAATCCTTTCACTGAAGCCATTGAGAAAACACATCATTGCTTATCGTGAGGAGGAATGGTTAAAAGTCTGTGACCCAACACCATTAAGAGCTTAAGACTCAAGTGACTCTGATGGACTGGACCAAAGGTTGAGCAATGACATGGGCAACAGCTTCAAAATAACAGGAAACGCTGGTGGAGGGAGACACAAATGTTTCAACCCTCAATCACTGTACAGCCTTGTACCTGCGCCCTGCTAATATGAACATCTAAGTAACGCGAAGATACTTGAACACATTCAATTTCAAATGTATTCAACACTGTAAGACAACTGCACATGCCTCAGTCTAGCACATAAGCTGAGCACAGACAACACTGGAGATCAGACAGGGCTGATTAACAGCTCCTGAGAGATGGTCGCACAGCCAAGCTGTCTGCAGCCCTAAACTCCCACAACCACAGAGATGCGCTTACACACACACGGGCACACACATCATTTTTCACATCCAGCACACTCTATGTGAACACAGTGACTCAAACATGCAGGACTTCTTTTTCACCACAGTGGAGGCATCTTCTTGGTGCAGAAGTGCTGACACTGACGGCCTGAAAGCAACTTGGGTTTAAACCAAACTATGAAACACTGCATGTGTGGTGCTTCAGACAGAGTGGAGGCATTTGTCAGCATCATACTGCCACTCTCCTGTAGAGGCTCTAAATTACAAGCATGACTGGCAATGTGGGCAACCCAGAGTAATTCTTCATCCTTCGTGTGTGTCATTAAGACGTCTGAGATACAAATAACCTCAAATAAATTAAAGTGAAAAATGTGAACTCACCACCACAGGTGGATTGTTCCACTGCTCATAGGTGCGTGCAGCGTATGGATAGATGCGGTCGTTGATGATCTGAAGCGTCGTCAAACCAATAGCCTTCATGGAACTGAAATAGGCCTCCCAGAACCAGCGAGCCTGTGGACAAGGAAAAAAACAACTACTTAGACTCTGGGCACAAACATTCTCAGCAACATTCTAGTGCACTAAGAAGAACAGCCATAAATCATTTGTGACAGTTGTAAGAAAAAAGTAAAAACATGTATTCCACCTGTTCTCATTGAGGATTTACATGTTCTGTAATATATTTTTAATAATAAAATCAAGCAGTTAGATTTATTATGCATTCAGTTCTCTTAATTAATCAAATAAAAAACCCTGAATATTTGACTTAAATGACAGTAAGCATGTCTAGTCTACTGATGCAGGTTGTGTCTCCTTCAAGGGGCCGTTTAAAGGGGAAAGAAAGCTATAAGAGTTAATGAAGCTTTAAACAACACTCACTGACCTAACTCCACCCCACCACCTCCTCATTGACCCGCTATCCACTAGTGTCAAGTGTTATGGGCCAGGCTGTCTGTTTATATAATTAAAATTAAAAATGATCTTTTTACCAAAGCAGGTTTCAGCTCCACATGAGCAGCACTATGAGGTGAAACACTGTCAATGTACAGCAAGAGCAAAACAGAGGGATGTGAAGAATCAGAAAAGACTCTTTAATCTCGAGGGGGAATCCCAGAGGCTCATAAATCAGCCAGTGATGAAAGTTGCTTTTCCGACTGGGAGGAGACTGAAAGCAAACTTTGTTGGCCCCGGGAACCTCCACCCGATCGCAGCGGCTGTAGGAATTTTTATGAGTAGTGAAGAAGAGACCGTTTGCAAAAGAGAAAGAGGAAGATGGTTCATACATCACATCTTTCACCAGCATTCTGTTGCCTACAGTCTCCTTTATTTAAAAATAGGATGTACTGTATAACAGAGTACCAGAAGACTAAAAAGTCAAAAGCTATCAAATTGGAAAATTGTAAATGCAATGAAAAATATTGCAATTTAGTTGAAAATATTTGTGTTTTCTTACCATTCTAAAATGTTTATCGCAACAATAGTTTAAAATCAATCAGCATTGTATATGTCAAACTGGAAACAGCATCTCGGCCGCTGTCAGTGTGTTGTCAAAAACAATTAAAACAAAGGTTAAAGAGGTGATCAGGAAGTTTACATTACATCACTTTGTTTAACTCGGAGCAGGCTGTCAGGAAGATTGAAAGTATATATGAGAATTGGCAGCCAGCGAACTGTGAACACAGGCAGGCAATCATTAGTGTTTGACATAATCAAAAGCAGCAGTGAAGCCGAGTCTCTGCTCTGTTCCTCCAGATTTATCACTGCTTTACTCTAAACTGTGATCAAAACACACTCACAGGTGTAAATCAGATCGTTTTAGGATATACTAAGTAGAAAGCAGCAGGGTGTTCTATTCAGTGCCATGACTTGAGAGCACAACAGACATGTGAGTGTATGGGGTCTGTTGAAAAAGACATTTTAATCAACAAAGGTCTGTGTTTACCTACAGAACTAATTGAGTGGCCATACTCCTGTACATTGTGCTCTGAATGTTCAGATGCAATAAGTTCTGTCCTGACAATTAATCAAATAATCAATGTCAAATACAACTTTCATTTCGTTGTATTGTTGTGTGCAACCTTTAATACAGTAACCTTTAACACAGTATGCTTTTGCTTTCTTTTAATATTTGTCTCCGCAAAAGTCGGATCACAGGGGAAAACAAAGAAAGAGAAAGAATAAAATCAGCTGCCATCTGCTGGTTAATTTATGTACTGCATCAGTTAACAGTAAAATAAGAAAATGAACTTCCTCGAAGTTCTCCAGCTCAAAGAAGGAACAAAACACTAAATAGGAGAATTTTTCGTAGAATCTGTACAACCTGTGCTAAAACACAAAAGATAGAAAGAACACTGCTTTTCTCTGCAGTGTCTTGGAGACACAAAAATGCATTCTACCATTAAACAGCCTGAGCCCACAATGTCGATTTTTTATGTTTCCCTCCACTTGGTCTAAGACGTCTGTTTGCCGAGCGTAATTGTGAAATTGTGAGTTGATTCAAGAGAATGAAGAGCAGCTGAACATTTTGTTCAACGAAGCTTCAAAAAAATGGAAAACTAAGACTTTTTTTTTAATTCACTAAAGCAAAAATCAACTTAGATTTAAGATTTATGTTTGTTTCCTGTAAATCTCATTTGGCTCCTCAAAATATAGCATACCTAGTTGAACTCTATGAACCACAGCTAAATTTGAGCCCCTTTAAATAACATTTGCTGAGGGAGTTTTGAGACTCTTACCTGTCTCTGCATTTCTTCCACTTGTCTGTGTGGGATACTTTTTAAAATGGTGTACATCTCTGACAGTTTTTCCTCCGGGATCACCACAGACGCCCTATCCAGGAACAGAAACGTTCAATTAGTGGACTAAAAATGGACAAGCTGTCAAAGGACAGATGATTTCAGATGGTTACACAACCTTTTCCAGTCCAGCACTTCAGAGAATGGCAGAATGTAGGAGTCGGCCAGAATGACAGGGACGCAACCAGCCTGCAGCACATCACTGAGGGCAGCCTGGCCCAAACGTGCTCCACGCAAAACCACACAAAATGAAGACTCCTGCAGAAACACAATGATAGTGAAATAAATGTTTGCATTGTGCAGGCAGACAAATTAAAACCTGGCTGTGCTAACACATTTTTATAACAAATTGTATCTGGCACAGATATAAAAAAGAATTCATCTTAAGTGAGAAAAACCCAGAGACTTTAGAACATACCTGCAGGATCTGTGGATAGTCGTACACCTGCCCTTTGTAGCAGCGTTTTCTTGCCGATGCAGCTCCCTGAGACAGGTTGCTGCATTTGTCCAGCAGGAGCAACGCTTCACCATTTTCTTCTTTTAAGCGCTCCAGCTCAGCGCGGTACTCTCGGTGGATGGCCGTTTGAGAAGACAGAATAAAGTAGTGACGTGGCCTGTAGGTGCAGGTATGACATTGTTAGTTTACAACACGCCACTTGCTATACATCTTATGATAAAAAAATTACAAAAATGCAAATAAGTTGTGGTGTAAAAGTCCTAGCTATGTGCTCACCCGGGCTGTCTCTCAGGAAGATCAATGTCTGCAGAAAGAGGACTGTACACTGGGATGCTGACATCATAACCCTGCCTGTAAGTCCATGTAGAAAACCCACCTCCAGCCAGGAGAACTCTGCAACAGAAGGAACAGTGAGGATACAAAAAATTAGAGTTGGTTTGAGCAACACACTCACAGTGAAATGAAAATTCATGTTTATTTTTCTCCCATAGGAAAGAAGCTTGGTAAGCTGGGTAAACTTTCTCTGTCTATAAGGATAAAAAGGATACACTCTTCTCTTCAACCCAACACGAGAAGCATATAAAATGAAACACACCGTCTGTCACACACCTGGTTCTGATGAGCCTCATCCCAAATGGACTCCAGCTGGATGAGCCCAGGAAATTCCTTACAGCTAAAGATAGTGTTCATTGTTTCAGGGCTGCATGCTCATAAACCAATCATCTTCATGCTCAACAATCACTCTGGACTACAGAACATCCTGAGACTTACGGGCTCTTCACCAGTAATCCTACCACAGTTTAAACATATCCTCAAGGACCCCAGGAAAAAAAATCATATCCCAATAAGATGTTTTTTTTTATCTTTATCAAGTGATTCATCTAAACACCTAATGAGAAACTACCTGATAACCTTGGAAATGCACAGAGAAGTTGAGTCTTGGTTTCTTTAATGTTCAACATATGTTCCATCCAAGCAGCGTGTGACATATTTTGATTCTGCACAAAAATATCTGCTTACTTTATTTACCCTGGTACTTTAACATTAACTAATTTTTAAGTTTTTAGTGGCCAACATTTAAGTTTCTGACACTCATATACATGCATATAAAAACAAAAAAGATAAATATCTTAAATTCACTCTGCTCTTTATTAGAGTTCAACCTTATTCTCTTTGCTGATGGACACAGGACATGTTCCCTCACTGCAGAGAACAGGGAAGGAGGTATTTAAATGACACAGATCCACAGGTATGGCGAGGCAGAACGCACCATGCTGCACTGATAGGCGGCAGTGACGTGCGATAGGGGGCAGTGACATTCATCGACTGAGAGTGCTGAGCCCTTAGGCAAAATGGGTAAAAGCCACACGTCGCTGCGTTAATGGGTTTGAAAAAACTTTGTTTTGTTTTATTTTTATTAAAGGATTTGCCACTGGAAAAAAATAAAATCGAATATGCTACCTGGTTACCTGTTACTTTTACTTGTGCCTATCAGTCTAAAACATATTCACTGTAAAATATTTAGAAAATGTTTTACATAGTATACATTTTAAACCAACCAATTTAATTAAACATTGTGCAATATAAATATTCTTTTTAACCAAATTACCTGTCTCTGGGGACATCCAAGGCAGTATTATAGTCTGGGGGTCCTCCAGGTAACATGTTGAAGAGCAGATGATTCATTCCTTTGTCCCACCTCATTAAAGAAAACAAAGGCCATGTAAGATACACACAAGGTTCAGGAAGAAGGAGTAATGCATAAACACAATCAAACCTTAAAGGGAAAGAAAAATGCATAGTTAAAATTAAATACACTCATATACACTTCATATTTTAATTGTTGTACGGAAGTAAAGGTTTACCTGGAAAGAATGGCCAGAGCCTGGGCTGTTTCTCTGACGCGCAAGGAGTTCTGATTCAGCACATCGATTGATGGGATAAAAAGACACGCTCTTGTGACATCATCAGTGTAGAAATCGCTGTCTGAGATGGCACTGAGCAGGTCATTGTATTCTCGTGATAGCCCAGTGCTGCTGATAGGAACGCCCATTTCATCCACAAACCGTTGTAGAGGGTAGATGTAAACCTGCCATAGACATCAAATCCACAATGATTGATACTTTTTAAAATCTAAACGTAAAACAATAGATACATTCCTTTTGACAAGCAGTTACCTTGATTTTATTCTTGGGATTATAGCCACATCTGTACACATCAAAGCATGTGTGCATGCGACAGCTCAGGTCGCCTCTTTCAGGAATTGGGCTGGAAAGAGTAAGGCGAACCAGTGGTGCATCGTGGACACTGCGTTTATCCAGAGTCCAATCAGCTGTGGATTCAATGGAGTGTGGCCAGAACTGAAACATTCCAGTGGCAATCAATCCAAGCAGCACCACAGAGAAGAGAGTGATGTAGTAAATGCGGTGTTTGGTTTTCATCCGAGGGATAAGAGCAGGGCCCCGAGAGCTGTACTTCCCAGAGGCATACATGCCTGACACCTCTCTGTCTAACCAGCTACTGTGAAGACAAGAAGAGTGAGATCAAAGAGAATATTGTGTACGAGACAATTTTTTACTAAATGGTATAAAACAGGTGTGTGATTTGCTAATAACACTGGAATTGTGGATTGGAACGTTCCTAATACAAATTTAATATGTTTGTTTTTGTGTCATTATCAAACTACTGTATAAACTTTTTTTGGTTTACCCAGAACTTAGGGTGCCCAAGGCTATAGCACACTAAATTCTTATGTGGGTGAGCAACTATGTCTTTTTATACAAATTAGCAGTTAATCATAGAAAATAAACACAGAAAACAGGAAATTGTTTTGGGTTACTACCAGATTTGCAGTGTTATGCACAAAGAAATCTATCAAACAGTTACAAATACTACTAGGGAGCAATAGATTACATCGTGTTTACCTGAAAAAGAAAGTAAACTATTTCTGGAAAAGGATGAAAGATATATACATATTTCCCCCAGGGTTCTAAGAACTTTGTCGAACGACATATGTTTGTAACTTTAGCACACAGCACTAAGAACTGTCCAGTGTTTGACATATCACAGGGTCTATGTCTCATAAAAATAAGTCAAACTAATTCACATTAAAGTATCTGTATTGCTGTCGTTGACCTTTTGTCTATTCATATTTGATTAAGCCGATGCCTGGCATATCATTAATTTAGACTCATATTTGATTAAGCTGATGCCTGGCATATCATTAATTTAGACTTACATACACTAACTAAATACGTTAAATCCAAAGAAGAGATACGTACGTCAAAACTCAGCCTCGATACTTCGACAAGAATGACAACAATGTTTAACTGTGACATGCTACTGTAAGAATATCATTACATCTGTAAATGAAAATTGTTGTGCAAATTAACATCCGTTTATGAGTTAGATTGTTTCGTCGTTTTTCGAGGAAGCTAACCTGGCTAATCTCAGCTAGCCTAGTTGTTAGCTCTAGACTGTAAACAATTGAGTTAAATTAGGTCTACAGTTCGTATTTAAACCAAGGCAATTAAATAAAGACGTATTTCTGATTCAACGGTGCTCCTGTCATCTTCTATGATAGCTGGAAAAGCGGTAACATACAATAGTTAAGTTTTAATACTCACCCACCCTTAAGCTAACATTAGCACTCAAGGAACTCGGCCAATAGACAACGGAAGTCGTTTTTCTTCGGTTGTACCGCAGGAGGTGGATCCTTTGCTTCCCTCTAGTGGAATTAAAGGTGATATGACCTCAACAATATTTGTATTTCAAGGTTTAAACAGATCTCATGCACACTGTCTTCTGGTGCTACAGCACAATTAATGTTTTATGTTTTAATGACTGCAGTCTGATTCATAAGTCAAATGTCACAGTGACTATATATGTGTGACTATGAACATCAATTTAGTTATATTTGAATACATACTGTATACTTCACAGATCTGGTGGTTCAGTGTTCATCAAAATGTTATTGAACAAACACATGCCATAAACACATTGTCGTTTGACCCACAACTCCTTCTTAAGACTAAATGCTTATTGTTTAGTAATGATCATGTGTATTTTAAGCTCTTGTACATCCACTGTAGGCTTATACTGTAGTAGATGCTGCTCCTACACTTGGCCACAAATATCATGTTGAAATACTCTTCCCTCATAATCCACCCACACTGTGAAAGGAAGTAACACATATTTGTATTCCACCTAAAGCAGACCAGTGTTGTAGTTTATTCCCTTTGGTAAAATGTACACTATTAACATTTAAGTAGCCGCACGGTGGTAGAGTGGTGGATGCACTTGCCTTATAACAAGAAGATATTAGGGTACACTGATTTGATCCTTTTCTGTATGAAGGGCACATGCTCTCATTGGTGCATACATGTTTATATTTAAGAAAATACAGGAATTCAAACTATTTTTAGAGTTTGTAGTTTATTGTAGGCAGGAATCAAAGTTGAATACATTCTCTTTTCGGGGCAGGAACGAACTGAAACAACAGGAATAAATGTGGACTTGACATTTCTCTTCTTTTTTTTTTAATAAAGAGTGATTTATCAACCTGCCAATATAATTTGAATAAATTACTGAAATGTTTTTTCTATGTCAGTACATCTCCTTTGCCATAACCTTAACTCTTTATATTATATATATTTATTTATTTTTTCTAGATGACTCTATAGCAATTTATTTTTTTTCTTAGACATCTGCATAAATATTTATACATACAGTAGAAGATGGTGCTGTACACATTATCTTTTTTTAAAAAAATGTAGTGCTTTCTCCCAGCAGCTTTTAGTGTAGGACTGGCTTCAAGCAAAGCTACTGGATGTAGATAATTGCTGAATCGACCTTAGTTTTATGGTATGAAACTAACTGGCTTTGAGATTTGTAACGTGTCAGACTGTTCTAAATTAAAAGTGTACACATCAGTAGCATTTACTTTGCCTTGAGAATATTACTCTACAGCTCATCACACCATTCTACAGAATCGGGTAAAAAGAAAGCAGATATATATGTAATGTCATGTGTCTGGGTTTAGTCTAAAAACGCCCAAAAATGTAAATAAAATGCACTGACATCAAACCAATCTGCCCAAGCTCACCAGGGCCAACAACACCATCAAAACAGCAACAGAGGTGATAAAAGTAACAGGAACGACAATAAAAAATGTAAACTGTGAGCTGCTTTTTACCCTTGGTGTGATACGGAAGATTGTACAAAAACATTTCAGAGCTGGCGTTTGAAATGTTTTCAGATTTTTTTCTTTAGTGAAACATAAATGCAGTGGACGATGATGTGAAATAGTTTAAAGGGAAGCAAACACCTTTACATCCCAGGTATGTATTATTTCAGAGCACCTAATAGACAACGACCTTCTGGGAGGTGTTTATTTATGATACACACTTTGGTGCCATCTGCTATGATATGGATCGTGAATGAATACAAAACTCAGAGAGTTTGGTCTTTTTTTTTTTTCTAAATTAAATAAAACCTTTATTACCAAGTAACTGAAGCTCAGCATGTTAAATAATTGTATAAAGATAGCGTATGCTGCAATTTGTTCTAAAATTTAACTACAGAGTCTGAATAGCATTTTAAGTATTGCGGGGTAAGTTTGTATGAGTTTTCTCTTTTTGTCTACTTTCTGTTGCTCTCTTTCTTGGTTTTGTATTTCTAAGGGAATGTTTGAAACTACAGGAGTTCCTCTGTTTACGACCTCATCGCCATCTCTCATACATTTATTAAGAAAGACTTGTTCCATTATTTTTGACGTTAAAAGTCGACAACTAGTTTGCACAGGAACTAGATGCCTTTTTTTTGTCTGTGTTTTTTTTGTTGGGAACCTTCAGTCCTTCATTATGTCCTTCAAGCGTCAGACTCTTCTGATGTTTTTATGTCCTAGATTATGATGTCACCACTGTGTTAGCGTAGGTGAGTGACAGATATTTATGTACAGTATTCGAGTGTAGACTTACGGTGAAAATTGAGTTATGTCACACCGTAGTGACGTAACTCGAGGACCCCCTGTCCCCTGTAGTTACCAGCTTATAGGATGCCAGCTGCCATTTACCTCAAAGACAAGGGAGTAAGTAGTGGGGGAGGACCGGGATCAGCTCACAGGAATGTCCGCTATAAATCTCTAAATAAAAACATTGACGTTTCATGAAAAGGGTATTCATTTTGGCTAGAATGTTTTGTTATTCATGATGTTGTCAGGTGCTCAGTATCACAGTATCCAGTACGAGCAGCATCAACTTGACAAGTCCTGCTGTAATTAACCAGTGCTAGAAGTTCCTGCCACGAGGTGCAGTCTCATAAGTTAAATTCATTCTCTTTAAATTCTCTCTCATTTTTCTGTACATACAGTTTTAAACAACCTTTTTTTTGTGGTGCTGCTCGTTAACAGTCTACATAGAAACCAATCATGTAGAAATGGCAGGAGATGCTATGCTGAGCTTGCGGTTCCATAAATCAATATTCATACACATATACAAAAATCACCATCTCATAAATACATTTGGCAAAAAAAAAACATATTCCATTTGGTAAAAGGGGGCGGGGGGCGGGGGGGGGTTGAGTTGCAATTTGCCGTGTGCAAAATGACAATTCTCTTTAGAAAAAAAAATTGGTTTCATGCATTAAAAACCAAAAGACTCAAAAACATCCATATGTGTCTGCAATAAATGTCACAATCACTAAATTCTTTTAAGACATAAATCATCACCAACGTAGCACTCTCTCTTTCTCAAACTGTAAAATCTTCACAGACCTGAGGAACGTTACATTGTCTTCTCATCGCCACCTACTGACAATGTACTATTATCACATTCCTGATTTAAAAAATAAAAAGGAATAATATGGACAATTTTCAGTGGCTGCTCAGGGAGCAGTAGTAGTAGTACAGTACAGAAGCCCAGATGATTTACCTATACCTATTCTACAGTGTTGGTTTTCCCTGCTCTGTTTATTATTTTTTGATTATTTAGGGAACACGTGACGTATTGACACATTCCTTAAGTGGGAAAACATTGTTTTGGAATGGCATCGTGAAGCTACAGTTATTTGTAATCCCCCAAAAGCAGCACAGGCCCCTGGCATGCAGAGAGGTATCATTTTCTTCATTAAACATTGCAATAGTGTCAAAATGGTACAAACAGCCTTTGAAAAAGGGAAACCTGAAGAATGGAAACAGTTGATCAGTCATTGGTTCTCTGGTACGTGATTGCATTCCTTTGCATGCATGCACTGATACTGTGATATGTTTTTGGATTTAAATGACTGAACTTCTCCATTCAGGGCAGATGGCATCGAAGTCTCAGGACTAGACCATAGTTGATAGTGTGTTCTCCTCAGGGCAGTGACAGGGGGCGGACGTTATTAGAGAGTGTGTGGTTGGCAGGGCGCCATCACCGGGGGAAAAGTCATTAAGCTCCTCTGAGGAGGACAGAGGGAAGGAGGGCGACAGAGAGATGCCGGATGAGGGATCAGCAGATCCAGCAAAAGTGCGTGGAGGTTTGGGGACAAGGTTTGGTTCCAGTGTTGCTCTGGCTAAAAGAAGCTGCTTTTCATCCATGTCTTGTCCATCTTTACCACTCTCACCTTGGCTGAAGGAGCCTCGACCCGACTCCGACTCCCCGTCGGACAGTTCCAGAGGTGGCGAGCTGCTGCCGTCCAGTTTGAACAGAGAGTCCAAGTACTGGGCAAACTCCAGCACTGCCTGGCTGGGGTTTCCATTTGAAAGTCTGGCTGTAGGAGTAGATGCCATCTGTTTGGTTTCTCTGCTTAATTGTTTCTTTTCTGCCCTCAGCTCCCAACTTTCCTGTTTTGTATCCAGGGGTCTAGAATCAACCTGAGGGCTGAGTGGAGCATCAGGAGTACTTCCTGGGCTGTAGACACCAGGAATCTGTCGGTGGCCATCATCAGGAGGCATCGTTGTGTTGGCATTAAGATCTGCCTTAAAAGGTTTGGCCAAAGTGTTCTGGTTTGGAGATGGAGAATGGCGTCCACTGTAATGCGGCGTGGCAGGAGACAGCTGCATTGGGTAATCTGGTATGGAAGTGGATTCCAGCGGACTGAAGAATGGCCCGACTTCACCAAGATGTTCTGGTGTCGCCTGGCAGAGGCAGTCGGCAGCTAGTAACTCAGTGCGAGAGCTGAGAGACGGGTTCTCCTCAGGGATCGGAGCATCCAAAGGAAATGGGAGACTTCCCAGCATCGGGGAGCCCCTCAGTGCTGCG